CCTTGTTGAGCTACTGCCCGACTGTCCCGCGTCAGGGCAAAACAAGAGTAACTAAGGTGAAATCCAAGTAGTGATGACTAAGATAGAGTCATTGCGCGATTCGACGCAAATGGAAGTGATCGGGATCGCCAGCGATATTGGGGGTAGAACGGGAGGGACAGGTGATGTCCGGGTGCATCCTGAGTTGTTGTACGGTGTGTAGTCGGAGTCGAGATGGCGGAGGAAGGAAGATGTCACGATAGGCAGGCGGAGAGGCCTTAGACGTCAGGCGTCAGCCTGCCCGCATCGTCACCGCCCAGCGCATGAGCTTTGTACGGAGATGAGAGACGGGCTCTAGAATACTCAGAATTGATTGCTTATCTTTCTAGATTGACCCCAGATCCGGAGCTCCGGCGTGGTATGCAGCTAAGCCCAGCTAGCCGTCAATCGCCTGGAGTAGTGGCACAACCGAGTCAGAGACTATTCGAGTAGGATCCGCAATTATTGGAAGAAGAGTGGGAGACGATGGCGACAGATGGCAGAATTATGGAGATTATGGAGACAGGCTGCTGCATTCTGCCGTGGCAAAGCGCTTTTACCGCTGTTGTGAACTCCTGCCTCGATGGCGCAATCGCCGCACGTGACTTCGGCCCCCCCAGTCAGTAGCCGACGAGGTATGCTTTGCGTGATCGCTGGTCGATGTCGCGATCGCTGCAGAACACATCCCTTCTTTTCTCCAGTTCTTATTTATCTACCTATGCCCTTGCGCTGTTTCTCGAAGTGAAGTCTGGCTGGTCCATATCTTTCGTTGAACAACTATCATAACTACGACATAACGACTACCCAACCATACACTACACCCATATATACCCGTGCTAACTACTCCGTACACTAAATCTGCCTCCCGCCTCCCGCCCCGACCCCGAGTCACACTACCTTTGCGCAACTACGACCTTGACGACTCCTTCAATCCAACAAGAGCCTTTACCAGGGTCCTCATTACACGTCTTTCCCTCGCCACCCTCCTTCATTACAGAAATAAATCTCCTCAAGCTATCACTGGTTGACCAGACCCTCTGAAACTCACAGCGACCTTTGAACAGTGTTCGTTGCGACAGCCGAGGCCACGCAAGCCTGTGAAGACTCAGGCGCTGGGCACTTTCCACTATTCTCGTCTCGACAACAGAGATGGAAAACGCTCGGCGAGAAGATGATATGATCATCCCCTCGCAGTCTTCGTTGCAGTCTATCTTCGGTGGTCCTGCTGAAGTCGTCGACTACAGTAACGATGCCGATTCCGACAATTATCAGCACGAGCCCCACAGCCCTCCCGACCTAAAAGCAACTTCTGCGACCCTCGGCGATCAAAGCGTGGCACCTTTTCTCGCTCGACACGTTCCCGAACAGTACGGCGCTCTTGGACCTCAGAACAAGGGCCTGATGGAGCTGAGCGGCGCGGATTCACGCTATTGTTATCGCCATAGGCCTGACCGTAAATGCAGACGACAAGCAGACGAACCGACAATGGATAAATTGCAGAGAGTGAGTACTGCCGTACCCCGCCATCTTATCGCGCAATTGCTTCGACATGTTGCAGCGTGCGAAACTCAGTTTTTCCCAGAGCTAATCGTTTTCCGTCATAGGAATTGGAAACACTTCCGCAGAGCGACCAGCAGGGTATCGCACACGTTTGGTCCCTCTTTTCTGCCGCGCCAGCAAAACACCGAAAACTGCTCCTTCAGGGTATCATGGCCCAGTGCTGCTTTCCGCAACTATCCTTCATTTCCGCGACCGTTCGAGATCTCATCCGCATCGATTTCATTGCGGCACTTCCTCCGGAGATTTCTTTCAAGATTCTGTGTTACCTGGACACAACTTCACTGTGCAAGGCTGCGCAAGTATCACGGCGATGGAGAGCACTTGCTGATGATGACGTGGTTTGGCACCGGATGTGCGAGCAGCATATTCACCGCAAATGCAAGAAGTGCGGCTGGGGACTCCCTCTCCTCGATCGAAAGCGTTTGCGGGAATCGAAGCGTGAAATCGAACTGCGCGCCACAAACTGGGATATTAGCGGACCGTCAGCGGGTACTCCTGACACCTGTAACGCGGACACTGATGCGGCAGCGGTTGTGCCAGCAAACCCAGCGAATCCAGCGAAGCGTAAGCCTGATTCGAGCGAGGAACAGTTTACTCTCGTCAAACGCCATTGCTCGTCGCTTGCTCCGGCGCCGGGCCTCGGGAATGACGACGCCTACTTCAAGACACGATACAGACCTTGGAAGGAAGTCTACAAGGATCGTTTCAAAGTGGGAACGAACTGGAAATATGGACGTTGCTCCATCAAAGTTTTCAAGGGCCATACAAATGGTGTGATGTGTCTCCAATTTGAGGACAATATTCTTGCCACGGGGTCTTACGATGCTACGATCAAGATTTGGGACACCGAGACTGGCCAAGAGCTGCGCACACTTCGTGGACACGAATCTGGCATTCGTTGTTTGCAGTTCGATGACACCAAGTTGATCAGTGGTAGCATGGACCGCACCGTGAAGGTGTGGAACTGGCGCACCGGCGAATGCATTTCCACCTACACAGGTCATCGCGGCGGTATCATTGGCCTGCACTTTGATGCCACTATCCTCGCTTCTGCCTCTGTTGACAAGACTGTCAAGATTTGGAATTTCGAGGATAAGTCGACCTGCCTTCTACGTGGACACACGGACTGGGTCAACGCAGTGCGGGTGGATTCGACTTCTCGTACAGTGTTCTCCGCCTCAGACGATTGCACCGTCCGGCTCTGGGACCTGGATAGCAAGACCTGCATCAGGACATTCCACGGACATGTAGGTCAAGTCCAGCAGGTGATCCCGCTTCCTCGGGAGTTTGAGTTTGAGGAGCATGATGCGGAGTGCGAGAACGACAATGTCAGCACCATCTCCGGGGACATTGAGCCGGCCTCTCTTCAGGCTACACTGGGGTTAGAGTCCAACTCCGTCATGTCGCAGAGTTCGCCTTTTGGACCCGCTTTCGCAGACGGCCGCCCAGCACCACCGCGCTACATCGTCACCAGTGCCCTGGACTCGACGATCCGTCTATGGGAAACGAGCACCGGTCGCTGCCTGCGCACGTTCTTCGGCCACCTAGAGGGTGTCTGGGCTCTTGCCGCCGACACTCTTCGCATCGTTTCGGGAGCCGAAGATCGCATGGTCAAGATCTGGGATCCCAGAACGGGCAAATGCGAGCGTACTTTCACTGGTCACTCCGGCCCCGTCACTTGCATGGGACTCGGTGACAGTCGCTTCGCCACCGGCAGCGAGGACTGCGAGGTCCGAATGTACAGCTTCCAGAGCTGATGCCTCTTCTGCCTCCCTTTTTTCCCTTCTTTCGATAAATCTTCTTCCGCTAAAAGCTACGAGTGGCTTGGTTTAATGTTTGTTGTCGTTAAACTTTATGAAAATACCCATCATGTTTTTATTTTCGGGCGTGGGTTGAAAACGGTTGGGATGGCTGGAGGAAGCCTGGCGTTGGTGTTGTGTTGTTCTACTCTGGTCTTGTCAGGTTATAACCTATTTCAATTCATTCTGGTAATGCTGCTTTACATGGTGTGCTGCCTAAGCTGGTAAAGATCGAAGATGTCTTCTAGAGTTCGCTTGGGGTTAAGACTTGGTTGTCAAGTGTGCCATCAATAAGATGCTTTAGAACGACTTAAGCACAACACGAACATCTCCTCTTGCCCCTTGAAGTAAAACGCATACATCCAATTATTAAGTGTTCGACGCTGGAATATGCTTGCTGTTAATGTGAGTTACCTGTCCTGGAAGTTGCTCTAACTATTGACTCATACACACGCCCAGACACACATACAAAAACACAACATATATTGATCGAATCGAATCCTCAATAATGCAGTATAGAGCTTCACTTCATTCAGACAACGTACATCCCCGTAGAAAGACAAGCTATATAGAACCCTCACCCCCCAAATATGCCACCCCAAACCCGGTCCACCCCAAATCAAACCAGCAAGCAACCAAAATGACCAAGACCCGATGTATAGTATAGGATAATCGCTGAACCGCAGCAAACCGCAGCAAACCCAAACAAACCCATACCCCCCCAACACCCAAGTAAAGATCCTCCCATCTTCCTCCTCCTTACACACCTCCCACCCAGAAATCAAGGCGTGCAATGCACCCCCTCCAGCTGCTGCGCAACGACCAGCGTGGCCACGATAATCAGAATCATGAGGCCGATCTGACCGAACAGGATCCAGTGCTGGTTGCGGACGATGGCCTCGTTGGTTCGGAGCAGGTGCTCGTCGATATTGATGTGCCTGAGGCGTCTGGGGTTGGGGCCTGTTGGGGCTGTGGATTACGGGGTTATTGAGGCTCGAGCTTGGGAGCGGGGCATATCTAAGATGTTGATATGGGTGCTGTGGGTGCTCGTACCCTCTGGATTGAGCGTTTGTGTTGCGACGACTCGTGGGGTGGTTGAGGGGGAGGAGTCTTGGCCTCCTGCGATGGGGATGACGATGTAGTTCATCTCGTGGGTTTCTGGGGGTGGGGATGAAGATGAAGATGAAGATGAAGAGGGAGATGAGGACGAGGAGCCGAAGCTGGAGCTTGAGCTTGAGCTTGGTGGAGACATGGTTTCTCAGCCCAGGTAAGTGAAAATATAGCGAGAAGGAGAGGATATAGTGTTTCAGAGGAGGTCGGAATGGAATCGGGAGAAGGACTGAGGATAGATGGGACTTTGTTGCAGAAGATCACGAGATGCACTTTGCTCAAAGATCCAGCGGCTGATGTCTACATGACATCCTTTCCACGGTTGAAGGTGATTCATATCGTCCTTACCAGGAGTAACGGAGGGTGGTAATAATGATGAAGTCACTTAGTCACTCGACCAGCCCCAGACCTATATAAGTATAAGTATTTCCACGCTGACCTGTGCCATCCGGTTCTCACTATCTTATCCGCATTGAGAAGCCTATAAAGAAGTTTAAGAGAGCATCCCCAAAAATGAAGCCGGAAGCATCACCATCCCAAGACCACACCCCCAAAACAACCATCCCCCCTCCCGCCTACATCACCATCGACTCATCAGGCAGCGAAGAAGCCTACGACCTCGAAGCATACCCATCCCAGTACGACGAGGAAAGGATTCAGCACATCTACATTCCACCCCAGTCTACCGTCACCGTCACCGTCTCAGAACCAGAACGAAGACGTCGTGAGTCTTTTCCGCTGCCACATATCTCCACAAAGCCACCCTGCCCAGTCCCCTCCAACCATCTAGCCCACGAGGACACAGGACGATATGCCCCCCTCGCCTCCATGATCTTTGGAATCGTCCTGATGATCATAGTCGGCGGGCTAATTGCCATGGTGATCGTCGCGATTGTTTTGGAAGCGAAGAACGGTAATCTGCATTTCTTCCAACCCTCTCTATCACTCTGAGAAAGGTCATTCCAGATGAAGCATAATTTCACTGATGGTATCTCTCTCTCACAGTCTCCAAATCCAGCTAGAGCGGCGGCCAAAGCTGGATGTGAGCTTCCTAAGTGCCGCAGTTCCATTCTCATGCCTGCCCTCAACCCTATAGATTAATCTTCTGGATGATAGATGTGGGTGATGTGATTGGGGGATTGAGCTGGATAGGGCTTTGCTCTGTTGGTTGAATGGGACTTGGGTTTCCTTTGCTTTGCTCTTCATGACTTTCAGGGGGTTATTGCTGGGTGTTTATGGCTCTTGGCGTATGAGGTATGGGTCTCGAATGAGTTTACAGATGGGTTTATATTCTGTTTTGAAAAGCCTGGTTTCTTAGTTATAGTCGAGTCCATATTCTACGAGCGAGGTACTCAAAATGTAGCTATTGCTGGATAAAGCTGTATAGGAAGTCTATACCAGCATTGATTTCTACAGAAGATGAAGATTCTGCCAGTATCAAGAAGTACTACACTCTGCTCTAAGCTCCAGCAGCTGAAACTTTTACTGTATGCTTTCTACAGATTAAAACCAATTTACATCATCTCTACACCACAAGAAAGCGACGGCGGTGATAATAATGAAGTCACATAGTCACTTGATCAAAAACCACCGGCTGCAGATCTAGACATACAAGTCATTCCACACCGATATTGCCTCAGCATTCCCCTGTTCTTCTGACTTACACTCCACACATAAGTCTACACAGAGAAGACAAATAGGGTAGTATGCCATCTACAACCATGATGCCCGAACCATCGCATCCACCGCTATACCAAACCCCTCAAGACCACTCTTCATTAACAACAACCATCCCACCACCGGCGTACATCACCATCGACGTATCCGACAGCGAAGTCTACGAGCTCGACGAGTTCTCACCTACATACGACAACAAAGATGACGACGTCGAAAGCAACAACAACAACGACCAAACCAATAAGGATCAATCCGCCTTCACATACCAAGCCACGTCCACCGCCCCCATCCAGAAACCCCGTCGTCTCCGCCGGCTCACAGCAGCCCTACCCAGCCTCTCCTTCAAGCCCATCGCCACCACCGCCTTCAAACGTATACGCATACGCAAGCCTAAGCCTTCCACCTACCGCCCATTTGCAGGAACCCTCAAAAGAAAACGTGAGTTTCTTCCCCTGCTATAATAGTACACACAAAACTTCTCAAATCTAACCCCGAATCCAGGAATATGCCCCTGCTCCGGAACCAGCATAGTCGTAGGGTTTCTCGTGCTCGCCGCCATCGGCCTGACCGTCGGCATGATCATCGGCCTAATCGCTTCCCATGACGCGGAAGGTAAGACCACATTCATTCCCTCAGACATCACTCTAAAAACGACCCCCCAAAAAAGCGCCGAAATTGAGAATGCTGTCTTCGAAAACTAACAGAGTCTTCTCTCGCCGAATCCAGAACAGGCAGCGGCCAAAGCTAGGGTGGTTCTTGCAGATTACTGGTCCTCTCTCGTGACGATTTTCAACCGCTGGACTGGGTCTTCGTGAGTATAAGGCCGTGATGGGATTGACAGTCTAAGTTGGGCAGGGAGGGCTTGCTCGGTTGGCGTTAAGTTAAGAGGGTTATTTGCCGGGTCGTGGGTACTGGGGTATGGAGCTTTGGCTTTTGTTTATGCTAGTTACTTCAATTCATTTTTCTACCGTTTTTTTCTATGTAAATGATACAAAAGTTGACAATTAGATAGGTAAAGTTTATGCTCGCAAGTTTATAAAATGCTATCTATTAGGTATTTGAACACCTTAGTTTATTATGAAAGTTATATCACACAGGGGCATTTGATTATCACAACAAGGTTCAGTGAAAGTGAATATTCAAATGATTGGTATTGAGTGTAGGTTGCCGATCAGAAGTATCCTGCAATGGGAGAAATGTATTTAGATGTAGACGCGCAGTCAAAGTACTGCTATGCATCCCGTACATCATAGTTGAAGCATACAAATTCACATGCTATTTGACTAACAGTTCCACTACTACCTTCCACGGCTCGTTACCTTGTTGTTTCTATCCCAACCCAGGCAATCATGCCGGGTCCAGGCGCCGGCTCAATTGATCAAGTCCTTAATCTGATCATGGTAATCATCAATGGACATGATATCAGTCCTCGGTAGGACCGGCGCCTTTTTGATATACTCCCTCACTGAGGATTGGATCATCGCATCAGCAAAGGACATAACTACATGTGGAGCATAAGTAGGGCAAAGGGGAAAAAGGATTCATACCACCCTTGTAGAGCTTTTTCCACTCCCGCACAATAGATTTGAGCTGGAGATCAGCAAGGCCGACGTCAGGAATTTTGGTCTCAAACTTCTCCGCGGTATCGTGCACTATTTGAATCTCATCGCCCATCAGGTCCCAGCCACCTTTCAGCTTCTCGGCCGTCTCTTTAGCCGGCCCGATGAGTGCTTTCAAGTCCTTACATTGTTTCTAAACACATCTGATGTTTAGTTCCGGGATCGTATTTGGCATCAAGCAACCCCGGCGCTGGTGGAGCTTACCGACATGGCCGTGACATGGCCTTGCAGTTGCTGATGCAACGCAATCGTGTCCTGCTCGGAGCTGATCAGGTCCTGCAGGGCCGCGATCTTCTTCTCGTACTTCTCAATATCCGCCTGTCTCTGGGCAAATACGATGGGGCCGGCAATTGTCCCGATGATAGGGCTATGGCCAACTGGTCAGTTTTGGGGAGTGGAGGGCGCACAGGGTGCTACCTGGTGCATGAGTGAGCAAACCTACATCCAAACGTATGCCGCGGTCATTTCTTGATCATAGCGATCTAGGAAACCTTCAAGTCAACACCCGAGCGAAGAGTTGAGACGGGGTTTGGTCTCTGGACTGACCCTGGTCGATGATTTTCTGGTCGGCCGCAATATCCGCCAGCTGGGAATCAATCTTGGCCTGCAAGTCGTCGATGTCTCCCAGATCCTGGTTAAGAATAGAGGTCATGCTAGTTTCAGAGTCACCGAGCGCGCCCTCTCTCTTGTCACAGGCCTTTTCAAATTCATTCAGGGCATCCGAGACCTTCGCAGCGTGAAGCTGCATTGGTTCGATATCACTAAGCAAATCCTCCGTGACATCAAGAATGGCTTTCCTGGCCGCGTCCCTCTGCTGCTGAGGTGCTTTCTCATCATTGTACACCGTGCACTTGTCGAACATGAACAAATAATACGAGCTGTCATCCGCCCCGGCGTTGTCTGCGTAGCCGTAAATCTGCGACGCAAGCGTGTTCATTTTACCAAAGGTGCAGAGGTCATCGAAGGCGCTGTCATCGCCATCCGCTTTGGTCCACTGTCTGCGTGTTTCGGAGCTGTCATCGCCAAGGAAATCGGTGCAGTCCTTATAGATCTGGAGCCCGGCCAGCGGCAATCAGCTATATGCTGCTGCTGCATGAACTCATGAAGACCCGACTTGCCTCCTTGTAAGTACCGATCAAACCATCAATCTGGGTCCAGATGTGGTCGGTGATCTTGCTCTGGTCCAAGATGCCGACCTTCTGGCAGAAACTGTCTTTATCGAGGGGTAAGACTCTTCCGCCATGGAGATATCGGTTCAATTTGCCCATGTCCTCGTCGGCAAACGCAAAGGTGGCCCCGTCATCATCGTCATCGTCACCACCATCCTTCACGGCACGTCGAGCAGCGCGCGAAGGGGTCTCCACCGTCTGTCCGATGGGGTACCATCTTGTTTCGTCGTCGCCGGCCGTGGACATCTTGGGACGGACGTATCTAGCAGGTGTGGGTGTGAATATGAAGGAGGCAGGTTGAGGAGTCGTTGATTGAGATGCAGAGGATGCAACACGGTCATTACTTCGAGAGAACTGGTTATTTATTGCCAGCCCCGCTTCAGCTGCACTGTGTCCGTCTGGTTCCGAGTCGCATGTGCCAGGTTTGGCGTGCAGCTGCGAGCCATGCATTGGAAGCGTACAGCAAGGCTGGGTTGCAGCATTGGGTCGATCGGCTGGCTGCCTTATTGCTTCTTGACCTTGCCCGAACCATGGAAAAGCAGGATATGGTTGTTTTCACGTCATGGATAAGATGTGACATGGTGTTGTGGTGTCTGTCTAAAAGCAGGGCAATAAAAGACGCACTGCATGCAGTGTAACCTTCCAGCAGCAGGATGATGTAGCCTGCCTGCCTGCCAGGGAGACATTTAAACACAAACACAAACACAAAAACATTAACCGCGTTAACCAACGTTAACCAACGTTAATCCATCCTCTCCGAAAATACAAAACTAATGCTTTCCTCCAATTTAATCTAGAAAATTCTCATTCTCATTCAATTGATGTAGCATGTCTACCAACACGCAGCCTAACAACCCCGCACAATGGCAGAAATTCAGCCAGACGAAGCCGGTGGACGACATCCCCAACCATGAGTCCAAGGACGAAGACAATGCAATGGTATGAGTTGCTTTTCAATTGTCCAAGACTGCTCTAACAAACCCTCCTTTGCGCGCAGGGACCAACGTACCGTTCGATCTTTCTGGATGGAACCCCCATCCTGCAGCAGCTCCCCGGGTACTGTGAGATCTACACCGACATCCTGGCATTGACGGAGCCGGAGATCCAGATGTCGGCCGACGAATTGACCGGGCTCGAAATCAATGCGCGGGTGATCACCGCGGACCAGCCCGTGCATCTCAAGATGTCCACGCGGGGAGCCAAAAAGTGCGTCATGGTGGTTTACGCCGCCATGCTCGATCAGCCGATCAGCGTTTCGATCGAGGGTGAGCAGCGCACGGAGCTGGACCTGGGAGTGGATTCCGGCCACCTGCAAGCGGAGATCAAGTTCGACGAGGGCACGCTGGAGGTCTCGTACCGCGACCGACACGGGGACGACCGGACCCCGGCCTACCAGGCTTTCCTGGACACGGAGCTGCGCGTCGCCCTCGCGGTCTGCTGGTCGTCCCCCGCCGTCGCCATCTCGATCTGCGCGTTTGTGGCCAAGTCGGCGGTCACCGCGGGCTCGCATGCGTTGTCCCAGGCCCAGGCCGTGTCCCTGGGCCAGCAATTGGCGGCCCATGCCATGACCGGGCCCGACTCCTACTATGCTCCGACCCTCACCTTTGACGAGTATGTCGTCACGCTGGAGACCCAGCGCCAGGTCGCCGAGTATTTCCAGGGCCAGTACCAGGACTTTCAGGCCGCCGAGGACCGAGTCGATGACGCCAAGGCGGCCGGGGAAACCCTTCTGAAAACCGTGCAGAACGAACAGTCAACCCGACTCAATCTACAGGCGCAAGCCTTGGATAAATATCAGGCGGCAGCAGCTACCGTCAAAGCCTGCGACAAACTGCTGAGTGATGACGAAGAAGACCTGAGACATGCACACGACCAGTTCGAAACCGGTCTCGAGGAGTGGATAAGAAGGCAGACCTTCCTGGCAATCTGCACCATCCTTGGTGCCATCTTTCGTGGGTGACTTCCCTAATCCTTCCCATTGAACCTCTTTCTCCGGGACCGTATTCGAACTGACATGTGCGTGCGTGCGTGCGCGCCGCCTTAGAATTTGCGGCCGGAATCTACGCCATCGGGAAGGGGTCGGGCGACCCCAGCGCGGTCGAGAAAATCGTCGACGATGTGGAGGAGGCCGAAAAAGCGGCCGGGGCGGCGGAAGATGTCATCCTCGGCGCCAAAGCCTTCAAGGGGTTGTGGGAATATACCAAAGCACTGGGGAAGCTGTATCCCCACATTGCCGATGTTGTCAGCGCCGTGGGCAAGATTGACCGTCTGGGAGATCATGACGACATTGACCTTCCGGCCTTGAGCGGCGATGTCTCCGGCGGCGATGGGACGGATGCAGACGCCAGCTTGATCATGAGTCTGGCCGCGTGGGATGAGTGGGAGTTGGACTCGGACCAACAGATGGAATGGGCCACCTCGCAACAGAATCCCGCGATTGACGGCGCCAGTGAGTATCGCTTGACCCTGCGCAAGCATGCGGTTCACGGCCGCGCGTTGGCTCAGGCCCAGGCGGAGGCTGTCAAGCAAGGCCAGGAATATGTCCAGGCCACCCTCATGGTGCTCCAGGCCGACCGCGACATCGAGGCCATCGACGAACTGCTCGCCCACTACGAGGAAGAGAAGGATGCATACGCCCAGGCCGAAGCGAAGTTCTATGATCGATACCTCCAGCTGCGGACCACGCTCGCCATTCAATTGCAATATGCGGTCGATGCCTGTCGCTTTTACACTCTGAAAGAACCCGCAGTCGATCTGGACTCACAGATGTCTGTGGGCGAGATAACCGCCTGCATTGCAGATCTGCAGGGTGCGATGCAAGATGTCGATAATCAATACGCAAATGGGTACACGCGTGGGTAGAATCCAGCTACACTGCTTTCAAATCACGTTCTAGGGACGCAGCTAATCCGTGTCTTCGATTCAGCAACCACTCCTATCACATTTTCTGATGAGGTACGAGCCCGGAGCATGAGATTTTTCAATGGCGGTTCGAGTAAAACTGACGAGAACACACTTCGTAGTTAGCATCCAATTTCCCCGAGACGGTGGTCGCCGGCCTGAAGAGCAGTGAGCAAGGGTATAGTGCCACGTTCACGCTACTGCCCATGCCAGGCGCCAACTACGACCCCGGCCCGGAGAACTACGCATACCCCTTCACAGGGGGATTCCACTACCGTCTGAACGGCCTGGAGCCTCGCTTGATCGGCGTGAAACCCCTGCCCGACGCGGTGCACGATGGCCGCGCGTTTGTCCAGTTCCGCATCGAAACCTCCGGGACCTATTCGGATCTCGGGTATGACCCCGACACGAAGGAGTTCAAGGTCTGGCATTTTGTCAGCAAGCCCCGACAGAACCGCTATCTCTACGAGATTGACGAGTCGGGCGCTTGGCTCCGCGACGTGGACCGAGCCACGTACGATGATCACGAGCACGCGCAACCTCCGCCATTTACCCTCTGGAAGCTCACTCTTGAGAACCCCGAAGACCTGGATTTGAGCACACTGGACAAACTGGAGCTACACTGGGACGCGTTCTACCGGCCGGTCTTTTCATTATGATCTTCTTGTGGTTGTCTCACTACCGTTGCATCCTGTTCTCTGTGGACCAAATCAAGATTTGAAATTACACAAACGGTAACATATGTGTCTAACCACTGGAAATAAAGCCTATCCAATGAATCTTACTGTTTGTATGCATCCAGAAAATCATTGACTGGGCAACTCAAATCAGCACCGGCCAGCCTTCTTCACAAACAAAAAACAGAGTTGGTACATCGGGACCTTGACATACCGTCGCCCTCCAGGTTCGTCCATTTCCGCAGAAGGGTCGCTTCGACCAGGCCATCTAGAGGGTCATCATCCGGATCCAGGTGATCCCCGACGTATTTCAACAGCACGGCTATATCGTCCGCAATAAGGTCTGCAGCGCCTGCCATCCCATCAACAAGACGACTAAATACCCGCAGGACATGCCACGAACGCCAGCCAGGACAGAACATACCCGCCATCTTCTGCACCTCCTGCAGAGAATCCTGCAAGTCATCGATCATGGCAAATCCCTCGAGCAGATTCTGATGGGACGTCAATCATAAGCAGCCAGCCAGCCACTGCAGCAGCCCACCTGTCGAGATCGAAACCTACCTTAGTCCACTCCAGCGCATCAAGGTCCATCTGGAGGTCCTCGGGATCGGAAATCTCATCTTTCAACATGTCGGCCAAGCTCGTTCCCTGAAAAGGAACAGCCAGCTGATGCACCTGGGTCTCGCAATCCTCCGCGTCCAGGCTGCAAGCTCGGAGACTCGAGCTCCAGCCGTCCGCCTGGTCTTTAAGGATGTCGACTTGATACTTCCGGTCGTTGATCTCTGTCTGGACCTTGTCCCGAAGGCTGTCGTTGTCCGGGTCCTGTCTCAACGCCTTCATGTCCTGGAATATCTTGTCTGATTGTCCCAGCGTGGTAAGTATCTCAACGTCCCTTTTGCCCCCCCGGGGCAGAAACAAAAATCGAACGTACCGTAATCGTCCGGCGCGGCAGAACAAAGTTTCAAGGCGGTGCTGCACACCGTGTCGGTATAGTTGTACTGTTCCTGTCAGTCATCAAGGTGAGATTGTCAGTTTTGCCCGTCAACTGGCACCCCGTCTAGGGCTGAGTGGTCCCCCTTGAACAGCGGCGATGCGTACGTACATTGAGGCTATTGGCGACTTGCCGGACCTGTCTTCCGTTAGTAGTGAATGAGGGGCAGCGGACGGAGAGGAGGAGAATTCTTTCAAATACCGTCTGGAATTGAATAGGGATCGGCTGCAGGTAGGACGGAAGCTGACAAGCGGTTAGCCGGGAGGGGAGTGCCTTAGTCTTGATACACTGAAAGTGAATGAATGATGTCCCGGAAAGGGCATACATACCACCACGTTATAGGCTTTATACTCAAAGCCGGCTTGTTGCATCAGGCTGTCGCCGGACGTGGGCAGCTTCTCATTCCGGATGCAGAGATCCCCTAGTTTGCGAAAGGAGGCCAGCTGGCAAACGAACCCATCGTTGACCAGCAGCTCGCGTGGACTGAGGAAGTCGGCGTCGCGGGGCATTTCGAGGGGCGTCCAGTCGAGAGATTTTCGAGAGGCGTAGTGTTGGACTGGACTGGGTGAGAAAGAGCAAGTTTGGAACTGGAGTGAAGAGCAGGAGGGTGCTTATACTTATACTTATACTTATAGCATCTCGTTATTAGGTTCGTCATCACTCCCCTCACGAGAGCTGCAAGGTAAACCGGATTTTGGAAGAACTCACTCATAGCTCCCAAAGATTCTATGGTCAGAATTAACCCTTTACATCAGCAGAATTCCGGTTGGTAAACCACCGAACTGGATTGCGGCAGAAATCCACTGACTCGAGCAACTTTCCCTTTCTGCTTGAGGTCCAACTTGGTGCCGCTTTTTACTTACTGAGCAGCGCAGAGTATACCTGGTCTTGGTCCCATACATAACATCTAGAGCTGTAATCTTCTTGATATTCTAGATTGAGAGTTGTTTAATACGTATCTTCTATGATAGTTTCTTCAGCTAAGGTAAAATATTCAATTTCTAATTCAGCTATCATTATGAAAAGGGTTCGAAAAATATCTCCATCTTATATTAGTTAGTAGATATCTGGCTAGTTTCTACCCAGATAGCCGAAAGACTTATGTATATATCCCTTCGCTTATTTTGACTTTTTCGAATGGATCAAGTCTACTGTCTTTCTCTTCTCACGCAGTCTCGCACATGGGTGTTGTATTTGGGCGGTCTACTTTTGATATGCCACATCATCGCCATCTCCTTCCAGCTCTCTGGAGCAGGAACGACTACTCCGTACCTTGCTGGAATCTTGGCCACTCGAGTCCCCGAAAGCAAACTCAACCAACAATATTTCTCCCATCATGTCTGAAGGCTACGACTGCTATACACGGACGGTGCTCTGGATGTACGACGTCCAAGTCCACTGGTTTAACGACAATTTTGCCTGGCGATGCCCTCGCCCGGTCCTGCAGGCCTTCTTTGATGCCAACGCCGGCCCTCGCCATATGGACATTGGCCCGGGAACAGGGCTCTTTCTGGCAGAGCACCGGGGCAAGATGCAGAACAAGGGCGTGAACTGGCCCCAGCAACTGGCATTTGTGGACATGAATCCCAATTGTCTGCAAGCTGCCACCGCCCGCGTGAATCAATCAATCAATCAATCCATGGACACCTTCCGATTCTCGGAGACCTGCGAGCTTTTATCTGGGGCAGAAAGCACATGTACCTTTGAATCTGGGCTTTCTAGAGGCAATACTCCGTGCGATACGAGCGAGACTAATTAGACCAGTTCCACAAAATCGTGTGTCCACAAAAGTTTCGTTGTTCACGTGACCAGATGCCAGCTGGGAAGTCTTTTCATACATCATACCCAAGGATCCAGCCAGCACGACCGCTCAGCATCTATAAAACCAACCTACCCAGCTCATCTCCATCCTCTAACCGCAGTATCACTCACACCGCAAACCTCATCTAGACACCACTAATCCAGACCCCCACTCCGATGCAGCCCAACTCCCCTAGGCGTAGCAACCGCAGACCAACACACCACCGGCTCAACAGCGCCAGCACCACCCTCCCCCCCCATCCGAACGCGACGAAACCAAAGGATGAGCATGCGTCCCCTCACCCCATTCCCTCCCCGCAGCAGCAGCAACATCCACAGAATCTATCCTCCCCTTGCCCCTCCCCTTGCCCTTCTCCTTCCAATCCCGCCCAGACTCCCTCAAAACCAGCGTATCCCTTTCCATCCGAGCCCCGTCTCCCTCCCCCTTCTCCCATACATAACCCCAATCAGGACGTCGATCCGACTCCAAAGCATACACGCCCCGCAAATCGGGCAAGTCCCGGAAATCCCCCCTCGGGTTCGCGTCACCGTCACCCTCTCCCTCCGCTTCCTCGCCCAGGACAAGCAGACTGGGCCCCAGATCCAGGATGCTGATTTCGCTATCCGTCAGGGAGAGTTCGCGATGGCGCGGGGGGATGGTGATGGGGTGGGGTGTGTGGTGGTGCTGGTGGTGCTGGTAGTGCGTGGTAGTTCGCTTGGGGTGGTGGGATGGGAGATGGCTATGGTTATGGTTTGGGGTCGGGGTGGTGGTTGGGGCTGTAGTCAAGGTCGTAGTCATCATGGTGTAGATGTGCTCCGTGGTCGTTGTGGTTCTGGTGGTAGGGGAGATAGGCGTAGGCGTGTTTGTGCTTTTGTTGTTGCGGTTGTGAGGGAATCGGAGAGGATGAGGAGGGGACGACGATGACGATGCTGATGATGCTGACGGGGGTGGAGGTGAAGGTGGAGGTGCTGCGAGAGGCGTTCTGTGGTTGCTTTTCATTCTTTCTTTGGTTGTTGGTGTGGTGCTCGTCGTGTTGAAGATTCTCATCGGTAGTCTGGATAAGACGAGATCAGAGGGATGGATGAGTGGAACGCAGAGCAGCAGGCCGACGACAGGATGACTGCAATCCCAGATGAGAGATCCGAGTAGATTGTCCAGGACAGAGAAGATGACCAAGGTAAGAAATGAAGAAAAGTTGGCACTCGAAGAATGGAACAGGCAAGAAAGTGAGCGAGCGAGTGAATGAGTCCCGTGCCTTCCTGATCGGGTGATATGCTCTTGGTCTGAGTATGTACTCTGGACGGACAGGCACCGTGGCTGGGTATGTGGTAGCTATGCCTTACAACTAACTAACTGTCTGGCCATTAACCACTCAGTATCTTCTTTATCACCAGCACTTTCCAATTCACTGTAGTGCTGCCTTCTGTGTTCACTTAGACTTCCTCGGGTCATCGTTCCACAGCCTATCCTCACTGCTATCTATAGTAGCCCCCATTAACGCCCCCGACCTTACCAGCTGACCCGGACTCGTATCGCGCTGATCACTTGAGGCTCTGTTGATGTCGATTGATCATTCAGAACACAAGTCCACCTAGACTGCTCAATACGAACATGCATCGGGAAGATATTCTGGAATCCTCAGGGCACAAGCAATCAGCCAATACCGTGATACCCTTAACAAGCCAATCTTGGCAATCTACCCATTACTTGCGCCCCAACAGCTTATGGTGACTCCTTCAGCATACCACAACCACGTGGCGGTGGGTACTCTGTACACCTCTACTCTCTACTCCGTGCAACAATCAATGCAATTAGATGCAGCAACGGCTGCTCTACCATCACTCTCCATTCACGAACAAGCTTTTAGTCAGGCAACCATCCCCAGTTGCCCCAAACATTCCACAGATATAATGCAGGGACGCCTCTCCGGCCATCCATCCCCGTAAATGCAATGCAGTCCCCAACCCTTCGCCACCCCCATCCTTGCCAGACCTGACGAAGCCATGATCCCTTCTCAGTGGACCCGATCCGGAGTCGAATGCAACCATAAGAAATCATCCACGTCGTACCATGATATCATATAAATCCCCACAAGGCCCAAAAGTAACAATCACCCACCCGACCCTGGCGCTGTATAGAGAACACCGTGTATCATTCGTTTCACGTTTCCAAGAAAATGACAAAGAAAATCATCTCGCCATAAGATTAGGGCAGAACTCGGTCGTCGTCGTCGTTCACTTGCAATTCCACCACCGGCAGATCGTCGTCGTCGTCGTCGTCGTCTCCATCACCACCGAATGGGTGCAGCTCCTGGAAGGAGGTCTCCTCCATGGGCGTGCCAGGGAAGCCCAACCCCCCTCCGGGGCTGTCAGTGAGAGCCGCCATCCGGAGGTCGGTGTCGCTGACGTCACCGCCCCCAACGGCCTTGTTGCTGTCATCGTCGTCGAGCAAATCATCATCAGAGATCGATCCCCGTTGCGCTGCGGTCATCTGTGAAGGGCCGTGAGCATCCGAGATTTGACTGAACGACCACGAGGGCGGATCCACGTGGCGGAACGGGCTGGGTTGCGGTCCGTGTCCAAACTCCTCGTCTTCGAAATCCATACCTGACAATCGATTGGCTTGGCCCATGGTCTGCTCGCCGTACGAGAGGCTGTTGGAATATTCCGGCGGCGAGTCTTCATCCCCGCTCTTCGCTTGCGTTCTAGTTCGCAAACCACCATCTCCCGATTGGTGAGCTGCTCCGACTCCGGCTAATGCGCTCGACGACCCATTGCGGGAGGAGCCGCCGAGACGCCGACCTTCCCCCGACGGAGACTGCCCGCGCGACTCGCTCTGGGAGTCTGCGTCGCTTCCTGGACGCGTCGATGCCTCGGTGACCTCCTCAAGAACCTTGCCACCCAAGGGACGATCGGAACGACGGCGGTAGAACAAGAGGTAAGCCGATGGGGTGACCACACTCTGAGGGTCGAGGGGTCGCGACACAGAAGAATCTAGATTATGTTAGTCAACTAGAGTCAACCAAACCGGCAGCACTCGCGGCAGCTTACCATTGTATTCGTTCCATTGACCGGTCATGAAGTTCTTGGCGTACGCCGTGTAGTGACCTCCTCCGAGCCCACCATAGTGGTTGTCTACAGCAAAGAGATCGTAGATAAGGCTCTTGCCTTCCTCCGGAGCCTCTACCCGGCCGCTCATATCGAGACCTTCCACGGGGAAGTCGACCAGAACATCAAGCTTGTCTCGGAAACCGCGACTGGCACTGAATCTCTTGAGATGCATGACCAAGATGTCAGGCGTCTTCCAGAGCTCGAATTTCTTGCTAGCCCGGCGATGCTCCTTGCAGCGAGGACAGTACCAGGCGTCATTTTCGGAAAGAATCTCTTCCTTGTTGAACTCATCCAAGCACTCGTACAGAGTAACGCCTCTCTTCTTGCGGGTCTGCCGAAGCGCGCGCTTCTTGGACAGCTCCGGATCCGGGTGCCTCTCAACGTTGGTCCAGGTCGGGCTACCACGGAGAGAGTCTCTTTGTATGTCGCCAGAAAACAGAGCATCGTAGGCATCCTCTGTCCAGTCGACCACGATGCCTTCGCCCGGTCGGATCATGGGAGGGGCTGGCTTAATAGGTTCAGGCGCAGGGCGTTTGACATCGGTAAAGACGTCAGAATCGTCAGCAGCGCTGTCCGGGCTCTGTTTACCCGAGCTTTCCTCATCGGATTTCTCAGTGGTCGTTTCCGAAGCAGCATCCGTCTGATAATGCATGTTAGTGATTTCCAAAACTAACGGAAATGCGACAGACTCATTGATACATACCTCCTGCTTTTTCGGAACGGGCTTTGTCTTGATTCTGAAAGACATCCGGGGGTACTCCTTGTGGTCATCGACTGAGGAAAAGCCGAGAGGGACGACCTCGTTCGATTTGATGATCTTCATTTCAAACAAGCTACGAAGGTTCGAAGGGATGCCACCCTCACGGCTGGCTGGAGCATCCTCTTGATTGTCTTCTGCGTCGCGCATCGAAACATCAACAATCCCATCTTCCCCATCGACTGAAGACGTCTTGATCTTGGAATCAGCCGATTCTGCGTCATCATCGTTCATGACAACAGTGTCTGAGTCTTCCTGATTGGACTCCGTGTCGTTGACCTCGTTCAGGAAATCGCGCGTTGTCATGGAAGCCACTTGCGCGAGAACCTTCCGGAAGATAGCATCGTAGTCGCCAAGCTCCTCCCTGTTGATGACAACATAGGAAGGCACACCAAACAGGGGCCGCAGGGTGTTCTTCGGGTTGTTCGACCTCGGCTTCTCGTACCGATTGAAGATAGGCACAAGTAGTCGATCCGCCCTGGGGGAATCGAGCTTCGGAATCTCCTCATGTTCTGACCGATTGAAAGAGAAGTAACTCTTCTGGGGCTTGTCTGGGTTGTAGTTGGTCGGAACAGACTCCACCTCATAAATGGCAATATCATCATTATTGCTGATCTGGCATTCGGCGATAGAGTTTGCATTGTCGAACATTTTGTAGAACTTGTTCTTGTAGATCTCAGACATGACCAGGCGTTGAGGGTCGGAGCCCATCTTCTTGGCGACCAACTCCTTGAGAGACTTGATGCTGGCGTGCTTGTCGATCTCCACATCCACAATAACCGGTTTCTTGTTCAGAGGGAAGTAGAAGATCTCCTTGCTCCAGAGGTTCTCAATCGGAAGCTGAAGAGTGAGGTTGTTGAACGGGTCAAAGATAATGCTGACCTTGTCACAAGCAGGGCAGACGAGGGTAGACTTGTACATGCCAGCAAAGAGATCCGTGATCACGGAGTCATTGCGAGCCTTGTAAATCTCCCAGCATTTATCGGCAAACTCTTTCAATTTCGCTTTGTCGTGAACCATGTCATCCGTTGAGTCTGGCTTTTCGATATAGGGCTTCTTCTGAATTCGGTTCAGATCTTCCTGAAGACCATCAAGAAGGAACAGAAGGAACTCCTGTGAGTCCTGCTGGCCGTAACCAGAGAATGCCGGACCATAGCGGCCGATAGTCTGTTTCAGTTGCCTGGGTGCAAAAGAGGATTGGCCTGCCTCGTCGTAGATTTGACGAAGCAGGTTGGCATAGGCTTTAGCCACATCACCATTGTGGGCCAAGGGGTTGCTGGGGTTGAGATCCTTCTTGTACACGTTGTCTAAAACCCACCGGTCAGTACAGATACTTAACAAGGGACCCGCCCGGTGAGCGCGAGATACATACTCAAGAAATAGTAGGTCAATTCCTCCACGCTACGAACACACTGCAGGGCGGAGTTCATGTAGCATGTATTGCCAAGGTTACTCAGACCCGTATTGCCACGGGGTTTGCCATCCTTGCGCCTTCCCCTCGCAGGCTCTAGGACTGGAGAGGAGCGCCCACTAGTCGCAGGGCTGTTAGTCTTCACCTTGGTAGACACTTCGGTCTTGAGGTTCCCTGTGGGCACCCCAAGGCGGTTCAGAGTCTGCTTGGAAGCTTCAGATACCCAGTCGCCCTGTTTCCCAGGAAGCCTCTCTTCGAGCACCACGATGTCACTGCCACCCAGCCCGACAAGATCCAACGGCATGCGACCGTTGTATTTGGTATTGGTAGTTTGATCAGTAGCATCTTCCAGCAACTCGCGCTGTGAACCTTCGGAGAGGGAAAGAAAGGTGTTGAGATCGAGCACAAGACTGCCTCCAGCGTGGGGCGCAGTCGATGCGGAAGGCGCTGGTGAGGCAGTTCGAGAGGCAGCCGGAGTGACCGCAGCGGAGGTGGTGGCACTTCCGAGACCATCAAGGATTCTCCAGACGCGGACTTTGGTCGACATCTCGATTCTTGCAAGGTTCTTGACTTGCTTCAGCCATTTCTGGAAACTTGTGTGCCTACTGGCAAGATGTCGAACGGGGAGCATGTTCCTTTCCTTCAGTGACTTGGGAGTGGTTCCGCCGGACGGGTTCGTGAGCTTCAGAATCGTGAAGATCGGAGGATTGATCTCGTATTGAATGTTCTCGCCGTCGCCCGGGGGTGCGGTGTTGTGAGCGTAGCGGACTATGGCGGGGGACTGCTCGGCAAGGCCGTACCACCGCATGATCAGGTCCCAACCTCCCTGGGGCACGATCTCATAGTCCTCTCCAAGCTGCAAGCCCGGTCGCAGGGGAACAAAAGGCTCTCCATTTTCGTCCTTGAAGCCCGTGTTGGCGGGGTCAGTGACCAGGACAATATCCGAATTGTCAACCGGGCCAATCTCCCCTTCAGCAGCGGTCTTGTCCGCCTGGTCTGCATGGGTAGAGCTTCGCGCAAACACCCGCTTCAACCACGACATTGACACCACATATCCTTTCTGCTTCCTCTGCATAGGTTGCATCATGAACCGGGTCACTTGCGCCACCTGGTCATCGAAAGAAGGAGGGTCAGCGGATGCGACGGAAGCCTCCGCTTTCGAGTGGGCTCGTGTCTCGGTGGAAGCCGTATAGGTAGACATGCTGGACGGAGTGGGATATACATTGTCCGAAATGGAGCTGTCCTCGTTGCCAGTTGAGTTGTCGTCTCCCGATGTCGAGGTGTCCATCGCATCCGGCTGGTCGGAGTGAGGTTGACTATCCTTCAAGGCGGGAACCTGCTCCATCACCACATCCTGTTCAGTGTCTGACGCTCCGCGAGCGTGAAGCTTTTCGTCCGAGCCCGACATATCGGTCGCGGGATCGCTGTGTAAAGTCAAACCAGCGCAGGCGGCCGAGGGGTAGTCGACGGTACTACCAGTCAAATCCGGGGTCGGGGAGGAGGGAGGAGCGGAGGAATGAGATCTGGTTCCCAAGACTTCGTCCTGCAGATGGGCGGGAATGTAGCGGGGAGGCGGTGAGGACGATGAACTCTGACTGCGGTTGGAAGGGGAGGTGGGCGAAGAGCGGCGATGAGGCAAGGCCGTGGAGGTGGAGGTGGAGGAGCGGTCGGAGCTAGGAGGTTGACCGTGACGTCTTCCGGCCTGCGAGGCGAACGACAAACCCGGAAGTGTTCCTGGTCTGCGAGGCTCTGCTACCTTACGGCGCTTTGTGGAAGACGTCGTGACGGTGAGCTGCGCACGTCTCGTGGCAGCTCGAGGTAGCACGATAATTGGGGAAGAAGATGTGGATGTGGGTTCTGGGTGGATGTCAGAATGGAACCTGTCGGAGAAAGATCGAATATGTACGGTGTTGATAGGAGGAAAGGAGGGAGGGAGGGATGGAGGGAGGTAGGGTCGAATCCGAAGCAAGAAATTAAGTTACTTTTAGACTAGAATGAATGGAGGGGAAGGAGAGGGTCCGTGGAGGGTAGTGGAAGCAGTGGAAATAATGCAGTGCGCAGTGGTGGATGGTGGATGGTGGAAACGGGATGAAAGGGAAGGAAAGAAGGTGGATTCGTTGTTGAAAAGAAATTCCGGCTTCCGTTCAATCAGCGGGTGGGATTTTGTTTAGTCACTTGGGCCGGGACTAACTTAACTTACTACCCAGTGTTCTACACATACAATAACCACTCAGGTAACTAATGGCACACCGTTAGAACCAACACATGTAGAGTGTCAGTCAGACAGGGGCTTATCTTTGCTTTTCTTGTCTGTAGAATTTATTCACTTTTTTCTTCTCTTCTCCTCTTCGCATTGCTTCTAATTATATCTATATATGTGCCCAGCCAGGGACTCTGCATCTCAATTCACTTACCTTGTGCAGCAATGTTGTTTCTATTATCTTCAAGCATCTACTTTAGTAACTTGAAATCTTCTTCAATGCTAGTCCCCTACACCTCTCAGATCGTTCTTGCTCTAAACAGAAGATTAGACTATCAGATATTAAGCAGCCCCAAACCTCCAGAAGCGGCCTAAGGCTGCAACACACCCTTCGTCAACAACAGAACCCAGGCACAAACATACATGCACAGTACTGTATGTACTATTGCAACTCTATCAAATAAGATCAATCACACATGGCCTGGTTGCACCAGTGATTAATCGCTACTACAGACCCCCCATAGACCAGTCCAATCTCACCTTCAAAACCCGCCAATCAGCTTGGCATGCAGCATCATCCACCTTACTCGTACTTCGTACCTTACTTACCGAGATCTCCAGGTCTTTCCCAGGTTGTCATTGGCTACAATGTCAAGCGCAATCGATACTAGGCTAACTGGCTTACCTACATAGTAGTAACTTATACCATATGCTCAGGATAAGTACATCACTTCGATCTCCGGCTTATCAGTCGGCTTGCTAGTCGCCCGTGGTCATTTTACCGATCTCACGGAGGGTACCATCAACATCAGCTGCCACCTCCCCCGTGCTTCATCAAGTCCGATGATCACGGATGCAACACATCTACACCGATTGGCAACAGATTACTGGCAGCAGGTTGCAATGAAAAACCAATATGCCCGCATAGCTTGAGATTTACAACCGGATACTTCCCCAACAACACCCCACTGGGTTGCTCTACGGGTGATTGTAGGTTCGGTACCTGCCATATACTTCCAGGTATACTTGTCTTCCAGCTCTATAAGGAGTACTGTGAATGTAGAAATTCTATGAAGAAGAGCTGGAGTCTATCTCGCCAGATGACATTCTACCAAGCTAAGCTAAGGTATCAAAAAAAGCAGCACCAGGCCACCATCACACCCCTACGATACCTAAATCCTCTATACCGGGACTGGCCAGCCATCCACATATTCCAGGACATTATAGCCCAGTCGTGCTTCCTGCCCACAAACCATCAAGTTAGCTATTCGTGCCCCTAGCATAACATACATCGAACCACGAGAGAGAGAGAAGAAAAGAAAAACTTACATGAAACTCATACCCCACCGAGATGTTCACTGCCAACCACAACAGACGTTAGCATCAAGCCTCAGCACAACCATGCCAAAGGTTAGAGCAACACTCACGATAATGATAATAAAGCACATCCTCTTCGACCTCCACCTCGGAAACATCATCATCGTCGTCGTAGCGACGATGAACCAAAACCCCCTGTCCCCCAGGAGCATACACCTCCCCATTCGACCCATAAACCACCTCCCCTCCGCCCTCCACCAGGTTGCGGCCTTGCTTATCCACAAACGGGCCGCGGGGACTCCTCGAGCGGCCGACACGGATACTGTACCTACATTGCCCAGCAGATTAGCACAGCTCCAAGAGAAAGGGGGGATGGAAAGAGGGCACACATACTCCATCCCCGTCCGCGGCAACCGCTCCGGCTTGAACCCACAGCACTTCCCCCAACTAAACCACAGATAATACCACGGCGCGCGGTAGGAGATAAATGGCCCCTCGACGGGATGCATCCCCGTGGGGTCGCCGCAGATCCCGTTCGACTTGGGGTTGGGCGGGTGCACCGCCCGGGGCTCGTGGGCGAGGTGCCGCACCTCGCGGTTGCCCGTATAGTCACTCCCCAGGAGGTTGGGGGTGAGGGGGATTTGCCAGATCCCGGTCCAGAAGGAGCCGAAGGTCAGGTAGCCTTTTTCTGTTGGCTGGGGGGTGGCTGGTTGGGGAGGGCTTGGGTTGGGGTCTTGTCTCTCTTCCTCGGTTTGGTGGTGTTCTTCTCGGGAGAATGAGAATGAGAGGTGGGGATGCTTTTGGTCTCCCACCTCTTCCTCGTTTTCTTTCTTTTGTTCCTCCTCCGGTGGAAGAGAAGTGATCAGAACACTCACGTCGATCGCATTCGCGCGATCCATCGGGTACAATCCCGATCCCGTCCCTGCGCCTGATCGGATGATCACCCCGTGATCGGTCCATCCCCCGGGGCCCGGATCCGATGAGGTAGCGACCCCGATGGCACTGCGGCGGCAGCCGCTGTGGCTGGTCGCGTAGTAGCAGTAGTACGTGCCGTTGTGAGCGACGACCGTGGGCGCCCAGGGCGCTTTTCGGTCGCCGATGGGGAGGACGCTGTCCGTGGAGAGGACGGTGCCGATCTTGGTCCAGGGCCCGGAGAGGGCGGGCGCGGTGTGGATGGGGATGTGCGGGCCGGAGCCGTAGGCATAGTATGTCTTCACGGGACGTACTGTTCGGCTCTGGTCGGCTGGGTTTGGGTTCAGGTTGAAGTCTTGAGCTTGAGGCTCTGGCTGAGGTTTGGCGTGAGAATACGTGATGATGATGCTGGGGTCGTGGATGTGGAGTTCTGTTGGGTTGGTTGGGCGGTAGACGGGGGATAATGGGTCGTCATGGCCGGTGTTAGCTTTGTCGTCGTTCTTGGTGGTGTCGGTAGAGCCTGAGAGTGAGCTGGGTGGTTGTGCACGGAAGTGGTTGCGTAGGATGTATAGCACGAAGATGAAAAGCGATAACAGCGCGGAGATGCGGATGATGCGGCGGAGCGAGTGACGCGAAAGTAATGGTGGTGATATTTTCCCGCTGCTTTCCTCGTCGAATTCCGAGTACTTCGAGCCCATGCTCAAGAGGCGAGGCCTGGTGGTTGCGGTGGCGTTCATCCTGTCGAGCGCATCTGAAAGAACCGAGCTCGCAGGATGGCTAACAGCACATTGTGTTCATTGTCTTGGTGGCCAATGCTGGGTTGGTTGGTGCAGATCAGAACCGCAGGGTTTGGATCTTAGTAAGTGGTGCAGTTATCAACTGCTGCTGCTGCTGCTGCCTATATGTGGATGCGACCCTGAAATACGCCGGCAGATGGTGTAACAAATAGGGTTAGATTATCGTTGTCATTGTAGCTTAATGAGGACAAGTTAATGCTAAGCATCAGAATCCCTCCTACAAGAGAGCAGCATCTGCCGTCATGGTCAGTGATTTTGTCGCCATTGGCTATCAGGACCGGTCTCTGCACGCACCAAATGGATTGGATCTGTACTAGGTATTCTCCGACCCGCCCTGCCAAGGCTATATTCAATAGGTGCCGTGCATATAGGTACTGTACTTATATTCGTAGCTGTTATCTGCGGGAATTACGGTGCTACATCGAGGTCAACAAGGACTTTAGAAAGGAACTATCAGGGCGGAGAAATAAATTATTTGCCGAAGCGGTGGAGCCGAAAACCACTCCTCCTCACATGCAAGACACAACAGATCTGCAATCAAGACATCGACATCAACGCAGTCAATCAATCGCACATGTTCAAATTGCGATCCATCAATATCCCGAATGGCGCAGCCCCCAGCATTTCTAAAACATAAACACCAACGCCCAGCGCTTTCCTTTCTCAATTCTGCGCCAAACCGCAGACCGACAACCCATTAACTACTTACTACCGCACTTCGATTTTCTCTACCTCGTCCTTGGCCTCTGTCCAAGTCTCCAAGTTCTTGCGCGCCCAGTCTAAGTGACACCGCGCATACGCGACCTGTCACAATCATCGTCAGCATGGATTCAACCTAGGGTCACGCGAGGAGAGCCCTACCATATACCGGCGGAGGTCCATCTCCTTATCTTTCTGAAAGCGTTTCAAGTCTTGCAGTACTCCAGCACTTGCATCTTTCACGTCTTTTTCGGACACGGTCAAAGCTTGCTCCAGCTATTGCATCATCAGCAACCATCCTTTTAAACACCTAGCCAGTCTCCCTTACCTGTTGCAAGCTTTCTTTCGTTTTTCCTATCTGATCGCGACGAGTCCTCTCTGGATCAACATCCACAAATCCATGCACCGCATGACTGATGCGTCCAAAGATCTTGTTGGCCACAAATGTTCCACTAGATGTCTTACGGTGTGCAGGAGGCGAGGACGGGCCAAAGTCTGGACGGCGGTGGGAGGCGGCTTGAGGGGCGGAGGGATGGGAACTGATAGACTCGCCATGTGTAGGGGGGAAGTCTGAGTCCACCGATGCATTGTCTTCGTGGCTGCCAGGACGTCCTTCGCTCTCGGGCCCGCCCGGAGCACTAGCGGCTGACGAGGCCGACAGCGATCGTTGAGGTCTCGTGGTTGCGCCTTGGGGAGACGAGCGATTCAGGTATTGTTCAATCCGTTGAGCTTCCATTTCACTGCGCTCAAGTGACTCGAGCAATGTTTTCTTCTTCGCCAACTCGTCTCGAGTCATCTCCTCTTGCACCCGCTTAAGGACGCGGTAACGTAAAACGCTGCGCACCACGCTGGCAAACTGCGCGCTTTCCCGCATGGGCTCTGCAAAGCTTGCACTCAAGGCGGCGGAAAGCTCCTCGGTCTCAATGTAAGACGTATCGGCCGCCTGGCCGACCCGTTCGATAGCAGCTGCCACGGTCGGGGATTGCTCTGACAAGGAGAAACCGTTGTACCGTGCTCCCAGCTCCATAAGGTCCGCCGACAAGGACGACAAATGGGCGAGAGTCCGGCGGTTGACCTTCTCGATGTTGCCCTGAAGGAGCAGCTCTAGCTCACGGGTGGAGGCTTCGAAGTTGATGAAATAAGGATCCAGCTCCTTCTCGCTCAATTTCCGCGACTCCGGTGGGAAACGACCGAGCACATCTTGGCTGGGGGCTTCATTTGGGGTTCCGGACGGCGCAGTCCCGGACGCCGACTTGAGCTTCGCCGAGGCTGAGGGCACCGGGAGCCAAGCATGAGCAGGTGTGGGATTGGCGGGATCGAGGGGAGGAGCTTTGAGGTTGTTCTTGGGGACTGAAGATGCGGGATGGGAATGGAGGACTTCGCTCTGAGCAGTTATCAGTATACAACACGCGGCCGTGCATTGGCATCTGGCAACCTACCCAGCTGACATTGGGGTCCAGGAACCTCCACCAGACTCCGTCTTCGCGAATTTCCTTCATCCGACGACACCGGTTCAGAAACACGGCCAGCATTCGTTTCCGAAGATCGATGATTGCGGTGTCTTCCTTGGCTTTGGTAGGCTTAGCGGCGTAGTCCGCCATGGTGTGTTTCTCTGGAATGGGCGGAACGACCAGCGTAGGATGAAGATTGACGAGGGTTTGGCGCAGCGATGCGAACTCCGAGTACCGTCTCCGAACTTCTAGATCCTACATGCCGTTAGCATCATTCCCAGTACCAGTACCGCATTGACCATACTCCTGTACGTATCGTATAGACGATGAAGCTGCCTCCGCCCTCGTGGTTCTTTCCGGCGTCGGTTATCAGGATCGGCATGTCGGGGTTCTCGTACAAGATCTGCTCTATCCGACTGTCGTAGACGCTCTTGCGCATGTACCCCTGGCCGGTGTGTTGGGTGGTGTACGCTCCGTGGTCATCTTCGTCGCTCAAATCCTGCTGTTGCGACAGGAAATCGGGAGGGTCTTGGGTGGAAGATCGGCTGGAGGGAGAGGGCGGGGTGTATTCGCGATCGTAGAGAGCTTAAGGCACGTTAGCGACGAACGTGGCTATAGAGTACAGAGCGTGGAGCTCATACGAGGAGAGAGATTGGCCGAATGCAGGGATTCCGACAGATGCGCCTCGGTGTCGAATGCGCCGTACGGATTGTTATCCTCGTCGTTCCACATGGTGTTCCGGTGGGGGGGGGATGGCTGGTCAGAGCAGCCTTGCTAGTTCTCAGCGGACAGGCAGGGAGACGAGGGTCATGGAATGCTAGTTGAGTAATGTAAAACAGTAAGATGACTCAAGCCAGGTACAGAACAGATTGAACGATAAGAGCGACTATTGAATGGTGGAACAAACAAGAGAGAGAGCGAGAGAGAGTCAGAGAGGGAAGGAGAACAGTGGATGGAGTCGGCGGCAGGAAAGTCACCGCCTGGAGATGCAATTCGCGGGGATCAACGTCACCGACTCGGGCCGTCCGCAGAGACCATCGCCGTCATCGGTTACTATTTCGAGCACTTCGATTACTAGATTACTACATTACAAGAACGGATGCATCCCTCCCTCCGATTCTTAACCAGCCATCTCCCCCATGTTACCACTCTACCACTGAGAATCGTCAACCCGCTTGTCGTTCGCAGTTCCTTCCCATTCACCACCAGCAGCAGCTCCTTGATCAGGCCTATTCGAGCCAACTCTGCTCGCTGCTCTCGAGTTTTTATGCCCACTCGCGCGACCGCCGAACATGTTATGTACGGCTTGTGTCAGTTCCGGTTCCTGATCTGGATGCCAGCTCTTAGGTGGTGATGGCTGCGGGGATGGATGAGCGGGGGCATCATTCCACAGACGGTGGGCATCGTTATCATGGCTGTCATTCGCAGGAGGATCCCACTCATTGTTGTTGTTCTGGGTCTCGACTCTGCCATTGTTGTTCGCATGCGAACCCCACTGGTGATCGTTCCTGAGGGTGTCCACTCTGTTGTCTTTGTTGCGCTCGCCTTCAGGCCGAGGGGGGTTCTGCGTAGCGGTATGCTGGAACTTCGTCAGAGCTGGGCCAGGGGAATTCGTACGGGGGTTGCCCGGTTCCCTGACGCGGACTTCCACCCAGCGTCTCCCGTTGGCCCTGGCGTTGGAGTGGGTGAGGGTGACAAGCTCGCGTGCGCCCTCGCGGCGTCGCACTGATCGGCCATGGAGCTGCTTGGACCACCACACGCTGAACAGGTAGGCGCCGATGATGATGGAGAGTAAGAGGGAGAGAAGTATCGCGATGATCACCACGTTTCCGTTCATCTTGGCTTCACGTGTGGACGGCCTGCTTCCAGTCTCAGTCATATTTTGAAGCATAATAATCCTCATGCTTTCACGTACCACTAGAGAAGGCTATGTCAAGCGTAGTTGGAATTTAAGTAAAATCCGAGAACATATGGGCTTTTGCTGGCTGTAAAAGGAGGATGTAAACATTGGCTGAGATTTTTATTGCCATGGCAGTGAGCTGGAAGATAGCTGTGGTAAATTGTGTGTCCAAACATGGTGGAACATGCAGTTTGTGCAAAAGTGAATCATTACTATTCAAACACCCTCCCCCGCCTCACTTTTATATATACCTCTAATAACGTCATGCAATCATGAGGACTCCAATGCCGCCCGAATACGTGAAATCCAATCATCGTGGATCAAGGATGTCTTTCCCTGTGCAAGCAGAGCTTGAAGCTTCTCCCTCACGTCGGCCACGCGCTCCTGTCCCAAAAGTCGGGAGGCAGCAGACTCCTTGGAGACTGCTACGGTTGCTAGGCCGAAAAGCCGCACACCTAAAGTGAATGTCTCAGGCTTTGAAGCCCAGCCCAACAGCCCGTCCTTTTCGGTAGTGTCCGCAAAGACATCTCCCAAGCAGGACAACCCGTCCGATACCCAGGTGAAAATTGCCTGGATTGACGCATCGTCATATGATGCTTCCGTCAACCGAATCATTTGCTTGGTCCACACATCAACTTCGCGAGCGTCATCGATGAACAGATTCTGCTTCTCTTCCTCGAACAGGATTGTGATTTCCTTGCGGAGGTTAGAAAGAACGGTGGAAACTGGCACAGACTGAGCGATGGAAGTGCTGATCCGTGGTTCGGAGCCGGTGATGTAGGCAATGGCTCTCTTGCGAAGCTGCTGCGAGTTGTGATAGCTCTGAGCGATGAACGCGGAAAGAAGATCGCTGGCAGTTGACGGAGACAGGGCGACAGCCTTGCTCGGGGAAATTGAAGAGTAAGACAGCACCCATGAGGCAGTCGGAGCGGCCAGGTCACGCAGCTCCTCGTCGTCATCGTTCAACATGTCGTAGAGGACCAGGTAGATATCCAAGAACGCCTTGTCAGTGAGTGGAGCCTTGCCAGCAGGACGCAGAATACGGCCAAACGCTGAGACGGATAACACTGCGGCGAGGCGGGTGGTATATTCCTGTGACCTGTTAGCACATACGATACAGACATAATGAACAGTCGGGCGCGTACCGTTTCTTCTCGCATAGCGAAGCGAAGACGAGTGGCCCACTCATTGATGTCATTCTCAGAACTCTGGTTATTGGATGCAATAGCCTTCGCAGCAAGGAGGCTGCCGTGAAGTTGTAGTTCGGCGTCAGACCTATCCCGGTTCCAGATGTGCTGGCTTGAGCCATGCTTGAGTTGACCTTCTAGTGCTCCCCATGGAAGATCGATCTGAGGGAGAGCCTCATTGCGGCAGTCGAAGAGAGCTTGCAACTTCGATGCCAAGGACGCAATGGCTACTGCCTTGACTTCTTCAGGGTAGTCTCCCAGGATGACAGAGGAGTACAGGCCGATCAACGTTTTTCCATACTGTTCTCTAGGCCCGAAGATCTCCTGCAGCCTTTCCAACAACCACTGACCAGCATTTGGGTCAAAATTCGAAACAGTACGAACGAACGGTTCCAGGTCGTTGGCCCTTCCTCCAAATAGCATATGCAAGATGGTGACCCACGAGATCGCCCGACGGAGGAGCGACGAAGCTCGGGTTGTGCTCAGAGACTTCCATGATGGATGAGACGAGTCGAATACAAAGCCTAGGATATTCTTAAAGGCGTATTCGTCTGTCACGAATTGCAGGGTAGAAGCCAGTTTGTCTAATCCGCAATCAGTCATGCTTTACATATCCTCATCACGGCAGCAAACTTACACTCGGAGCCTGAATCGATACTCTTTTCAACCACATCACTCAGAACCTCCAGAAGCGTGGTCGCGATGAATGGAGATTCTGCAAGCGGGAATGATGCGTTAAAAATAACCCGTACTAGAGAGCACACGTGGTCGAGGTTTTCTGTGCCTGTCAGCAGAAAGCACATAAGCAGACAAAAAGGATCATACCGTTCCAGAAGGCAATCGAACTGGCTGCGAACCGGCGGAGAGAGTACTTGATGCACAATGCTTCGCCATGAAGGTAATCCTGCGTCTTGCTATCTCTCTCGACGCCGATCAAAGTCTTGATATTGGTCAGAATGTCCACCCGCTGCAACAGAGATGCGTAGACTCGAGCCGCGTGCTCTCTGATACCCCAAACAGGACTCTTGAGCTGTTCCCGGACAAGACCACGCAAGACCTCATCATCGGTACCAGTCACATTAGGGACCTTCTCAGCGATCAACTCCAAGGCTGGGAAGACACGCTCAGTGACCATTGAAGTGTCGCTCTGATCGGTAGAGTTGTTCTTTTCGGATGGGGTGAGAAGGGTGGGAAGAAGTTCGAGAAGGCCAGGGTATTTCTGAAACGAGACTCTGGCTCCGGGCTCAGAGCCGGATTCACCACCAAAACCCAGGCCGGTGCCGGTGCGGCACATGCGTGTCAACAAAGCGCGGAACAGCATGAGGCCAGAGTTGCGGAGAGCCCATCTACCAATGTCAGACTCTTCTGAGCGAGGGAGGTAAAAGGGATACTCACATAGGAGAACCAAGACGCTCAGCCGACAGACGTAGAGCAGGCATAATGAAGGGCTCTGTATGGGGGCCAAGCTTGGTGTTGGTGAAAATATCTTTGAGGCAGTTCATCGCATGGACCTGGGGCAAAGGTGTGTCTTGTCTAGTCTTGTCCTGTTCGGCCGGCAGATGGGAAATCTCATGAAGCTCTTGTATAACCTGCTGAAACAGTGGCCCACCAGGTTTCGACGAGAGGATCCCCACAACCAGTGCAGGAAGACCAGCCGAACGGCGGGTGAGCTTAGACGCCGATTCAAAGATGGTTTTCTTGGCTTCCTACAGAGCATGTGAGCATCCGCCAAGTCAAGTAACCTTAAGACTAGACTCTTACCTGATAGAATCGGTGGGGCAGCTCAGAGATCGCTGGATCGCTCGACTGGGCACAGCGCTGGCAACAAGTAGCAAACGTCTGCGATACCGTTGAGAATGCACCTCTATGCCGAAGCTCAGCAAGCTGAATGAAGCTAAGGGTCCCCAGCTTATCAAAATGTTGCTCCGTGAGCCCATCGTCACCTGGAGGGCTATACGAGTTATTGGAAAGAGTGGCGTGGAGAAGAAGACTGTATAGGTCAGCAATGTTTTTTGGGCCGTCAAAGAATCTCGTACCTCGATTCTCGCAGAGCGCGCCAAGAATAAGAAAGGATATCCTTGGGACCGACGCCTAATTCCTCGATCGGGTCGTCTGTATGACCTTCTGGGGAGTCAATGCACAGGACAGGTCGAACCTCTTCCCAGATCCGGTCACAGACGTGCACGATTCTAAGGTGGAATGCCCTCCATGTATCGTAATTCGTGGACTTTTCGGAAACCAACGAATAAAAATCGGAGGTTGAGACAATATATCTGAATAGAGGATTAGCAGGGACTTAGCAAATCAGACACGAAGAAGGTACCTGAGCGCAGAAATATAGCCGTGCAGAGGTGCATCACGCATAGAAGAGTTGAACAGACCGCCTGTGGAGGAAAGCTTCTGCTCGAGCTTTGCTAGGAGATATTCGACAACCGTTGATTTAGCTTCCCACCACGACGCAGAAGTGTTCAAGCTCTTAGACGCTGCAGCACGGAAGAGTATGTGGTAAAGGCGAGCAACAGTATCTGCGTAATCAGCTCTGCTGGTGTTACTTGCCAGCAGTTCCGCCTTTGACAACCCATCAATGATTTGAGGTTGCCCTGTCAGCGACTCGCCTTGCGGCTGCAAATCACTGCTGAAAAGAACCTCATGGGGGAAAAGGTTCAAGAGGTACAGAGAGGTCGCGCGCACTTCCTCAAACGGGTCAAGCAACAAATCAACCAGTAGCCTGAGCAAGGTGGGATTGAAGATGTCCATGTTGCAGACCCAGCGAGTCTTGTTATTATCTGTGGCGCTGTGCCGACTATCGAGTCCAGATTCGATGAAGAAGATAAATGTTTTCAGCGCAGCAATATGACGTGGATAAGAGGCTGTAGGCCGCAAGTCAGCTTTGAGAAAGTTGAAGTACTCATTCAAGCATTTCCCAGTGACGAAGGTATCGAAGAAGTTTTGCTGAGCGTTCTTGTTTGCAGTGGCCTTTTCACTCTTCAAGCGATCTTGGTCCTCTAAAATTCCACCTTTCAGACGGACGACCAGCTTACGGACTAAGCTCAATACCTCTCCTCTCGAATAAGACTCTGATTCACAGTGCAGAGAGGGTAATCCGTTCACAATGGCTTTCATTGTAGCGGATGAGACGGCTTTGGTCGAGGAGGGTGCACTGATCAACAGGGACAGGGTTGCTATCCTGATGGTCATATCGTGGTGGAAGAGAAATTGTCCAATGACCTCACTCTTCAACACGAGCGCACGGTCAGCATCAGCAGCTGTAGAGCTAGGTTTGCCGACATAGTCTAGTCGCAATATGAGCCGGGGCAGTAGACATGGCAGGGAGTCTTAGACTTACGATCTTCGTGAACGAGTCCAATCTTCTTTGCTACCTGTAAAGAAGCGAACAAGACCATGAACTCAGCTATGGGCGCATCGCTCATGTCACCGGCGAGCAGACTTTGAAGAGGAAACTTCTCAATGAAAGACCGGAAACCGATTGCATCCACCTCAAAACAAGGCTGAAGAATGTAGTTCGACATATACTCCAGATCATCGAGGGTTCTCAGGGTGACGTGACGGACAGGTGCCACCCAGAGCGACAGCAGGTGTTCGAGTTCTGATGTAACCTTGATCTTCTGAAGGAAAGCGGCCATCAGATCACCGGATGAGGCCGCAAGCTCCGGTTTAGTTGCGCGTGCCAACAGACCCAGAGCAAAGATCCCGACTGTCGTCCTCGAGGTATCTTGTGACGAGACACCATTCGTAGAGGCACTGTAGCTATAGGGGGATACATCAATCGATAGGGCGTCGCAGTCTGCCTGATACATAGGGGCCCAGCTCTCATAGTTTGCGTGTAGCCACTGGTCGAGGAGCGAAATCAGCTCCGTAGGCGCAATCGCATTCTTGCGGACAATCATCTCAAGCGAAGCGAAGGACGCCTTGAGGCGAGCACGAGGTTCACCAAGCAGGATACTAGGAATCGTGAGCTCGACGATCTTCTTCTGAAGGGAGCCTCTATCGAATTGCTTGCGAGTCTTCGCCAGGAGCAGAACCAAGGACTCCATGACCTGCTTCATTGGTTTGGGCTTGGCATCCTTGTATCGGGTCATGAAGACATCGAAGACAGACAACCAGGTATCGTCGGAATAGACGATTTGCCTGGTGGACTCATGTTTAGAAACAAGAGCTGCATCTAGAAAGGCGCTGAGCGCATTACAAGCTGCCGTGGTATGAGAATGCGACAGAGAAGCGGTTGCATAAGTGTCTAGTAGATTATGATAGACCCGGCTCACTTTCCTTTTGGGGATGTTAGGACATTATCACACAAAGTAGGCAACGCTATTGAACCGAGAAAGAAAGAACATAATGAATGCAATGGTGGAAGGTGAGATGAACAGAGGTCTTACTCGGTGTCATCACATGCCTGGGTGAATTTCACTAAGGCACCCTTGCCGATTTGCTTGAGGGTCTCTTCCGGCAAGATTTGCATATGCTGTGCGATGGGCTCCATCTCTATGAATGCGGCCTCCATTTGGACCACAAATTTGGCTTTCCCTTCCATGAGATGTGGTCTTACAGAGATCGCATGTCCAGGCAATTGCGACGACGACGACTCCGACAAAAAAAGAAATGCAGTCCAGTCCAATTAAAGATCTTTATCAATCCCCGCGTTCCTGAGCGAATGACTTTTTGCCTCTTGGTGGATTTTCGAGAGCGGGTCTCCGAAAGAGGCCTAGCTCCGGGAGAACCATATTCCTTTTGCCGCTGTATCGCCGGGGGAAGGCGGTGGAAGGCGGTTGAAAGGTTGGTTAGCAGAATTCCGTCACGCCGAGTCACGGGGCTGAAGTTTTTGTTCTCCGAGAGAGAGACCTTAACAATCCCGCAAGTTCATTTGAACTGTCAGAAGCTCAGTCCAAGTTCTTCCTCTTCCTCGCGACAAGACCTCCTCTTCTCAGCAAAGCGCCTACTGGCCAAAGATTCCCTTTTTCTATTCTTTTCTCTTCCTCCTTCTCTATTTCATTCTCTGTATTCTTTATAATTTATCCCATCCCTCTCCAAACATGTCTATCTGGGATTCGCTCAGTGGTCGCAAACAGGACAAGGGTCCCGGTGCCTTCGATCCTACCAGCGCGCAAGATGCCACCTCTTTCCTCTCCGAAGTCGCCATTCCCGATCCTACTCAGCTCCATCCCCTTGCTGGCTTGAACCAAGATACCCTCGACTACATCTCCCTCGAAGACTCCGCCCTCGACCAGCTCCCCGGTGACCGTTCGGTGCTGCCCTCCCGCGGATGGTCGGACGATCTCTGTTACGGAACCGGAACTACCTATCTCGCTGGATTGACAATTGGAGGTGCATGGGGTCTGGCTGAGGGCCTTAGGAAGACGCCGGTATCGGCTCCCCCGAAGATCCGCCTCAACGGTGTCCTGAACTCGATCACGAGAAGAGGTCCCTTCCTCGGTAACTCCGCCGGTGTGGTGGCCATGGTATACAACGGCTTCAACTCGGGTCTGGGATACGCACGTGGCAAGCACGACGCGGCCAACAGCATTGTCGCTGGTGCTCTGAGTGGAATGGTCTTCAAGAGTACCCGGGGTCTGAAGCCCATGCTGATCTCCGGCGGCATCGTCGCGGGTATTGCGGGATCTTGGGCTGTACGTGTCATTCGTCCCAGTTTAGCTGTTTTGCTCACAGTCACTAACGATTTCTCTCATAGGTGGCGCGCAAGGCATTCCTGTAAATGTCTCTAAATCAGTCGATTCAATTGTATTTTAGCCCTCGAACTCGAGACGACGACCTTGATCCGATCATGCGTTCGAGAACCCATATGATGTGTATGGCCTGTTTCACCAAAGCGGGAGAGGTTGATTTGTTGCTTCACTTCGACATGTTCACGCTGTATTAGAACGGTTTTTTTTTTTCCCTTTTCTTTTCTCCTTCGCCCCCAATTCTCTCGTCTTAGTCTTACAGATCTCTTCCCTCTGGCGCACAAAGCATCTTTCTCGCATTCTCCATGGTTTTGGACCGGCATGGAAATGGATTTTTGTTTCGTTAACTCTTTGTACATATAACGGACTCCTGGGTTTGTGGTTCTTGCGGGCGAAACTGTTGCAGGTTTCATTTTCGTCATCTCAAGCAACCTTAATGTTAGTTCACACAATAAAAAGCATGGGACTAATAGCGACTTCAGATCAGGTTCTGCACTCATGAGAGTGTTGAAGATTGTCTTTTGAGGGGTCGAGCACAGTGACAGTCGCTACTTTACAAGGTCGCGTGCGGTGTAAACCGAGCATTGCACTAGGACACTCGTAGTTTGACTGTACCACCGGACTGCGGCATATCCGAGCTCGCCTTGTCCATGGATGCCTCAGGCTACACGGCGGTCTAACGTTTCCCGAGTTTAGTCTAAGCTTGCGTGGGAACTACAGCCTCAAGACAACTTGTGCTTCAAATCACAATGATCTGTGACACGCTACAGTCATTGTTAGGCTTCTAGAAACTCGGAGCGATGGGCAAAATCTCTACGTGTTTTCATTCTGCGCATACCAGAGCGGGTTCAATAGACAGACTTTCAAGACGCGATTTCTACACCAACTGCACATCATCCTGGGACTGGAAGTGGAGACTCTCTACGGCGTGTGATGATATTCCTTCGTATCATATATAGTATTGAAAAGCAGGCTTCTTGCTACTAAAAGAAAGACTACGAAGACTACTATTGATATAGGATTGATTCTCAATGCTTCTGCTTAGAGGGCTTTCATAGATGTCATTCACAGTATATCTTGTTACCTACACATATTATTATCGAAGATCGAGGTTGTTGTATAACAACACAATATTACTACCAGACGGCCGATTTTGATAACAATGCCAAAGGAGTGTAGATGTGCACTTCAAGGCGACTTCCGTCACCATCGAGTTCAAGCCCCCGAAGTCGTGCACACCAAAGTCAGACGTACCAATCTTGAAGAACAGTATTTACTAAACCACACTTCAGCCCACTCCAGTATAGCCTTATTTAGTTTATCGAGGACGATGTGACCTCTCCATATCTGGACTTCCCGCCGCCCTGTCCATACGTCTTCAATCCACTGGCCCTTGACGGTGCATGCAACCGGGATTCTACGCAAACCCTCGTATAAGAAGGCCTTGTCTTTCAACTCATTCTTGGTTTCGTATTTCTGCGCCCAAGGAGACAGCATATTTTGCTCTGATTCTTGTGTCTGAATCAATGAGATATGCCGGGCTATGGCCAGCGCCACCTGAAGAAAGCCGCGTAGTCAGGTATGCCGTATTGGCAGAGTGATTGCTCGTTGGGTTGCACCGGGCATACCCGACAGACACCATGCAGGTGGACTATTCTCTCCAATGAGAAATTTTAGGTCCAGAAGGGGTCGTCGAAGCAAGTATGCGATACGCCGGATCATCATGTAGGATTCGAGGTCCCAGTCGGCACAGTGTGTGGAACATAGCTCAAGTCATACTTGATGTCCTCGTGTTGTTGGAAAGTGCGACGTATTTCATTGTATTCAAAAAAAAATCAAGGTGCCCATGGGTATGGTTTTGGAAAGTGACACTAGCACTGACGTTTGGTGTCTGTGCTATTCTGTCATCGGGCTAATCCGAATAGACCTCGGCGGCGCGATTGAATCAGTGGAGGTTTCCATAGCTTCCTACCATGGTGAAAGACGGATGGAAAGAGGCAGGGGTAGGAAAAGAAGAAAAAAGGGTGATAATAGTCGAGGTGGAGGCTAGTATAAGTGACAAATTTTGAGCTCCGGCAATTGATCTAGTCAAAGTTATATATTCGATTCAACACAAGTGTTTTCCTGTTTGGGTCCGTGATCTCAATCACACTCATTGGACCTGCGTATATACTAGACCAAGATTCGCATTAGTAGACAGCGCCCAGAATCAAAATTGACCATCGAGAATTTAGCCATGCTAGAGAATATATGAATCCAGATTGGACCGACCTTCCCTTGGTTGTGAAGACCTGCTTTTAAGTGAATGCGACTCTTGGATGGAACCTTCCTGCCTTGTGCCTATGTCTGAATCCGATCAAGAGCCTCAAAGCAAAAGTTTTTAGCGCTGTGTGATGGTAGTCTGCGAAGTATAGGCTCCATCTTCATAATATCCATATAGTAAGATGAGCTATATACTATACTGTGCGCGTCGGCGTCGCACGGTGGCGTTTGTTAGCCGCGGAAGCGTCCGTTCGGCTATCCCGGCCGTAAGTAAGGAAGGATTAGTAAAGCTGACAACTATGCCCTAGAACAGAGGCAAGTGAACACAAAGTTGATGTCATTGTAGATAAGTATAAGCTGAATTTTCCGGAGAGTGAGATTCTATTCTGTAAATAGGCAATGGTACAGAACCAGGCCCGATCTGATAATCCAAGGCTTGGCACGGGGCATTGAAAGGAATTACTCTTTTGGGAAACTCCACATCCAACTGAGCCCTCAGGGTCCACGACGGCTGTGTTTTGGCCTGTTTTCTCCGCTGCTCGTGTCAACAGGCAGCAATTCCAATGGCGCTTCTGTCGCAGGGTAGGTCGAAGGAATCACCACTTGCTTCTTCTGGTGATCAATTCGAGGTATGTCTTAGCCAAGCTTCCAGTGAAAACTCTATGCCAAGCTGTTGTGTGCCACTTGTGCCTATATTTGGTATGGTGGATTACTAACTGATACGAAGAGCCAGTCCCAGGTCTGCCCTGGAGATTGCGCTCAGCGGCCCTTGAACAACAGGCATCGGGGTCTGTTTGGGCATGTTGAAGGTTCATTCTTGGGAAGAATAGGGTTGCCTGAATCAATAAGGTCGTTGACGTGCTTTCAAGCCGTAACAAACTACGGGCGCCTGGCCGCCATGACAGTCACATCATGAATCGATGGACATCAACAGACACTTCAACGTTGAGAATGCAAGCCAATTCGAGGTAAATGTTTCAGTCTGCCACTGTCTACTTCTAGGGACTTTAAAGCTTCTCAATCCGTGAACCAAGGCTCGCAGTGCAACGTGCATTCCTCCAGCGTTGGTCGATCACCATCATTCAGAGGTGCCCTAAGTGGGCCGCCCTTGGCCGTGGAGCCTGTGAGGCTATGAGGCCCCTTCTCCGCACCTTGAACCCTGATCCATCCTCGCATTACTCCTGGTGCCGGCTGGAGCTTGCCCCGTCTCAACCCTTCATTCGCTGGGTGAGGAACTGGAAACCTCTCTTATAAGACCAGCCATGGCAGTCGCTCCGGGGGGTTCCCTATCTCACCACGATGGGTCTTATACGACTTACAACTTTGCTCTTCACATATGTTTCTTCGCGCCGACTGACGTTCCTCGCCTTAGTCATTGTGGTCTGGCTCCTCTGTTCTCGCCTTCCTGGTCTTGACCTTTATGCGAACCAACAAGTGGTCAGGGATCACGGTCGAGGCGAGAATGGGGGTCGATTCCTATATGTTTCCCCCTTTCGACACAATCCGGACCTGGAGTATGAGAGAAAGCTCGCCAACGCTCTGCAGGAGCTAGAAAAACCGGTACTAGATCAACAGGGAGGAAATAATGTGGCGGAGAACAGGATATGGCAGATAGCCAAGGACGAAAGCCAACGAGGACCGGATTCAGCCTACCTTCAGGAGAGAAACCCTGGCTGGGGGTACACCGTAAGTAATCTGTCAAGCCTCACGTTCATAGGTATTGTACCCAGCTAAAGTTATGCCACCCAGTTGATGAGCGATGCGAAGGCATCCAAGTTTGTCGCCGAAAAGTTCGCCGCTATTCCGGAGATTGCCCAGATCTACGAGTCGTATCCCTATCACGTCCTCCGAGCCGACCTTCTACGCTACCTTCTTCTCTATTACTACGGGGGCTTCTATGCCGACATGGACATCTACCCAGCGCGACCCATCAACGAGTGTCCAGCCCTACAATCGATACCCAAACCCTCGATGGACGCCTCAATAGACTCGGCCAACGTGTCGCTTGTGCTAGGGGTGGAACTGGACGAGCCCTATGCCTCTCCGCAAACCATGCGCTATTGGCGCTGGACCCGAAGCTACGGACTGATCCAGTATACGATGTACGCCCCGCGCCGATTCAGCCCCCTGCTCCGAGAGATCATTGTTCGATGCTTGTCGCACACCCGACAATACTACCGCCAGCACAGTGGATTGCTCAGCCGATTCAGCTATGACAAGAACGCCATTCTGGGGATCACGGGCCCGGATGTTCTCACGGACGCTGTTCTCGACGCCCTCTCCGCATCGCTCCCCGGCTCCCATCCTTTTGTCCAGAAATCTGTCGGCATGGATCAGGATACCGGCGATTTGGCAGCTTCTGCTGGTAAAATGGAGAGAAGGGTCACCTGGGCGCCATTCCATGATCTTCACGAGCCCTTGTGCGTTGATGCCAGTGAGGCCGTCCCTGAAACGCCCATGGGCGGGCTTTGCGTGGTGCCGATCAGTGTGTGGGGTAACGGGCAGCGACACAGCAAGGCCGAGGGTTTCAACAGTCCACATGCCTGTCTCAACCATCGGTTCGGAGGGTCTTGGAAGAAGGGTTGGCGCGAACGATTGTTCGGATGAGAGACGCTATACACAAGCCTTGTCCCTATGATGAACACGCATGAAATATGACAACGAAGAAACAAATATCCCTCCCTACACCTGAAATCGAGGACGTAGTAATCAAAAAAAAAATATACCACACTAAGGGGGTCGCAATCCCATTGTTCCTTTGGACCCCTCTTCTATGGCCCAACAATATTTCTTGTACCACACTTTTGAGGTTTAACACTATAACATCAGTATCCTGAACCTATACGCAAACCAGCAGCCCAAACCCCTCTCTCCCGACAACATGGAGAAGCATCTGCCCTGCAGTGACCGAAAGACGCCGAAAGTCATTCGACAAGCGAATAGGGCGCATACCGCGTCCCCTCCTCACGAAGTCCATTCTCGGACTTCTCTCCGCGATGAACACCAAAGGGGGGCCACGACGCGGTCCATCGCGGTGTGTGTACTCCCGGCTGACCAAAATGACTCCTTCTACCGGTATATGACCGCAAACGAAAGGCTTGGAGGGAGCGTGCGGAGCAGTAGTGGATACGATAATTCTAACACATAGGAAGCTGTGGAGGCTATGGCTTACCTACCCTCTGTGGTGAGTTGACCTATGCATTCCTGCGAGGCTCAAAAAGACATAGAAATGCGCATCAAGTGGTAGTGGACCTTCGTCGATGCTGTTGTCATTCCAGTATTACAGACGTGTAGGGGGTCGGATCATGAAAATGGAATTCCCTTGATGATGGCTCCACAAGGAAGCTTCCATATCATAATTCTCTGTGATATGTTGTCTTTCAGCATTTAGACTACTCCGAGGCAGCGAGAAAACCTGTAATAAGCTCAATTGGTATCCACAAACGAGTCATCGGGGTTGTAGTAGTAAAGGTCGGTTCTAGATTGATAGATCCTAGAGATTATATAACCCTGCATCGGCCATCATGCCCTCAACCACCATTATCTCTCCACGCCGTGAGTGAGTATAAGTGTGATTGTACGTGATCTTCGCGCCCAACTAATGGTTAAGTGTGACCGCCTTCTACCAAGAAAATTCCTTGCTGCCGCGCACACGCTACCGGGGTATACTTGGTTATGGTACCTTCCATGGAGGCCTGTTCTCTTTACAGGTGTCACGAGCACCACGAAATGGAACAGAGCCCGAGGTCTGTAGTCCAACACGCAGAACCATTCGGCAGTCGTTCTCGTGAAGGGAATAGACGAACATAGGCCTACTTCCTTTATACTTCGATCTGCTGAGCCACTCCGTACCCCCAACATCAGTGCCCCTGCATTCCAGGATGGGATACTGCCCGACGGCATCGACTTGATCACGAAGCGCGAGGGCTTTCTTGTGTCAAGCCAAGTCTCAAAGTTGCGGGGCTCCCAGGGTATGGAGAGTGGACATATAGCTCGGCATGGTCCAGTCTCAGCTCGAAGGCTTTACCATCAAGCACACGCTCTCGCCATCAGAGCCTCTGTAAAGGTGGCATTGGAAACCACCCTGCAGCTAACGGGGAATGGCAGTGTTCCACGAAACTGTAAACAGCTACAACCGATACCACTTTACAAAGATCGTAAAGCCCAATCCAACAGCCAATCCGGTAAGAACCCCTCCTGTCGCTTGTGCATCTCCGGCGGTGTGGTTACGTCATGAACCCTGTGTGCGACGCTTGACCTCGGGCCCCAGCAATATTCATCGAGTAAAGATCCCAATATAGAAGATCCACGGAGGCTCCCATATGCGAGGCTACTGTGAACCACGCAGATCTGTCTTCGATAGACTGGCGCATTCGAACTGACAGGCGGTCGTCTGATTCGGTCAATCCACGAGTCCGCTCTCGCTCCGCCAGTGCTTCCAAATATATGTTCGCCTTCGGGAGAAAGGATTCGAAGAAGGCATCAGGTCCGTCTTGCGAGTCGTACACGCTATTGCGCTGCTGTTCGAGGTGGGTTGACTGCAAAGCCAGAAGAGATGTAATGTAATCGACGGATGTATCATACGTCCTTTATAGTGTGCAGTCCTTTAGTCCACTAGTCCGTATCAACTCGTTCAGCTCACGAGTTAAGGGTCGCCCATCAACAATCGTCTTCCCCCATTGGTCTTCATCAGTGCTGCCAATCTTACTGAAGTTGAGTCCCCAGAGTTGCAGCAGTACTTCTTCCATTTCTCCATACAGCGTCTTAAGCGTCTCAAGGTCGATGGCAAGATCCAGAACGTCATGCTTGTCAGAGAGATCGTCTTGTCTTAGTATGTCTGACATCATCTTGCCGTCGATCCATGTCATTATAATAAAAGGACCCAGGCCGGTCGGGTCCTCATCGCTCGTGCCATGAGCGATAACGCGCGGCACAGGAATCGTGGTCTCTCTCGCGATGTAATTCATCACCAATGCCTCTCTGCGAACCTTCTCATCCAGAAACATGGATTTCCCAGGAAGCGGAAACCGAATCAACCAGTCCTCGCCATCGTCGTCCCAATTGAGTCGGAAGCTGAAGTTGAAAGACCCGCAATGCATGGAGCGTAGCATACAATCATCCCGTTGTCGATAGCAATTCGCGAGTTCGCAGATCCCGGCCCCTGATTTGAAAGCCAGTTTGATCCATTCATGTCTCCGATCGTCGACAGCAGCGAGGTTGATATCATCGAAGTCCATTTTGATCGTACAACCTGGGGTACAGTAGGAGTATACGAGTCTCCGATGGGGGGGGGGGGGGGGGAAATCTCTTGAAGCTGAAGCTGGAGGCGGGTATGTATTTAGGTTCTTTACTATCTCTCTCTCTCTCTGTGTGTGTGGGGGGGGGGGGGGGGGGGGGGAACATGTCCAATAAGTACCCCCTGCAGCGGAGTTGACTATATTCCGAGCCGGCCTGCAGTCACCGAGTCTAGAGCTTGTATTCAACATCGAAGCATCGATGTTACTGGTTTTAAATGTCGCGATGCTCAAATAATCATAGTTGCTCATTTGCGTGCATTTCGACCCCATCCCTCCAACGCAGAATCCGCTCAACAGAGACCCCGCGGTGGGTAGGTTCGTCAACTGGCTCATCGCCTCGATCATCGAACTGGTCGATAATCCACGGATGCATCTGAAGTCGACGAACGTTTTTGATATCCACTTGACCATCATCGAGCCAGATGCCATCGTCGTAACCTCTATGCCAATTGAAGAGGCGCGATGTTGCAATCCCCGATTGCTCATCATCAAGGCGCCGCTCGTGGTAGGGCAGGCTTGATTGTCAGCGAACTCTCCTAGTGATGGATTTTATTGGACTTACTCCGTAGTTTCCCTTGCGGGATAGAATGACATATAATGTCAGCTTCAACCCTCGCAATTTCATGCTGCGAGCCGGCCGGAATTCTTTCGCCCGAGTCCAGTAACCAATAGTTCCTCCAAGATATAGGCACGTGAATATGTGCAAGGTGTGCCCGTACTTCCAGGCTGAGATTCTTGACGGTTGTTGTGCCAAAGGGAGGTGCGTGCGACCAGGGTACTGACAGTTCCGGTCGGCAGAAATAGGAAGTTTGAAACTCATTCGCTCTAGGAATGATGGACACTTCTGAATTTCGTACAGGATACAATATTTGGAGAAAAGACTGGGTCGTGTTGGTCCAGAATGCAGCTACTAGACATATAGGCGGAAGACCGTGAAGAGCCAGCTTCAGGAACGAAGTTGCCTGGCCGTTGCATACTGCTGCAGCCCATAAAAGAGTCAAGTGAGGTTTTGTATTGGTGATTGCCAGCAGCAGCTGCCGATTGTCGATTCCGTCAAGCTGTGAGAGAGCCTCTTTCACTCCCAATGATGTGGCCCCAACAAGATTGCATGGAACGCATGGATCGAAGAATGCGCTGCAGAGCAACGAATCCAGAGCATCCTGTGTGGAGCTTAGGGACAGACATCTATCGATGGAATCAAACAATTCTGAAAAGGGCTTGTCTTGCAGTTTTTGTGAAGACCGGATCGGAGGTGTGGATACTTTTATAGGAGGAGCGAATTTCGGTGAGGGCGCATGCCGTGAGGTTGAGATCAAAACAGAGACAAATCCGGTGAGCAGCTTCCCTTCCAAACCTTCTGACGCGCAGAAGTCCATAAGAATATGGAATGCAAGACGAGAATTCGGTGTGGCAGGCTCCCAGTTCCGGCTTCAGAAGATTATTAGCCGATAAGAACCAAGATCAATACAATAAACATACCGTTTGAGTGAGGTCCCTTCTCTTCTAAACATCCACGGTGAATAAAAAGCGCCGTTCTGGTTTTTAACTCGAGCTTTCCAACAGTCCTGCGTGACGATGTCCCAGAAAGATTCTCCAACCTGCATGCCTTGATCATGCAGGATTTGGCTTTTCTCGCCTGCCCTTTGTAATATCTCCACCCAACGGCAGGAGATGATGTATGACCAGGCCAGAACAATGTTTGTAAGATACCCAGAGCGAAGAGGCTTGGCACAAGTAGGAATAGATACCTCTAGTTGGGTCTCCGTTTTCGTCCAATATAATACAGGTGATGGGCTTCCGACGCACTGGAGATAATCGATGAAACTGTGATCTTGCTCGCAGTTCGAGTCTTCTGTCGTTCTCATCTGCAGGGAAGACTTCAAAACAAGGAAAGATTTTGCTCTTCCTGACAACTGTACAGTGCCTAGGGGACAGTTATAGAAGGGAGGGACATCTTTGAGAAGATTCAAGAAAGCTGATATGTAGTAATCTAGAGACTCTGTGCCCTCTAGGCGTGCAGATGCTGCATTTATCCAGTTGTCGATCTTGGACTGGCAGCAATGGTTGAATTGTGTTGTTGTCGGACAGACCCCATCACCGGGGAACCAAGTCACGTCGCTGTCACTATTTGATTCATCACAAGCATCGAACTGATCTGCGCTTGAGGTACCTCTTTGCTGTTTCGGATTGGTAGCGGCCAATTGAAGATCTGAGACACCGGTTTCCATAATGACCGCATAGGTTCGTGTGCCATAGATGAAGCTGTTCTTGCTGGACAGGCAAGCGAAGGGATAAGTCGAGATGTAGAGGGGAGAATGAAGGCGATATAGTAGTAGGAACAGGCGGTGGGGGGAAGCGGTAAGGGCTACTCACAGGAGAATGAGTAGGGCCGCTCTGACAGCTAGGCAACCGTGCCATGCAGGAGATGTGTTGTGTGACCTGATAGAACGGATCCTTGTATAAGACCCGAATCAGGATGACTTAGACGTCTCCAAACCAATTTTGACGGATTCGTTCCATATTTGTCAGCCTTATAGACCCAAAAAGAGTTCTGAGGGTTGCCCTGGTTGGGCGAAGTGTATTCCCGGATACCAACCAGCAGTTTCCAAGTCAATAATGCCAACGATATCGTCGTCGCGAATGAGAATATTTGAGGCTGCCGAGGTCACCATGAGTGAACGTCAAAGGCCAAGATTTTGCTTTGCCGTTTTCTGATAAATTCCCGGGCATCAACGTGCACTTTAGGATTAAACTCCAACCCCATGCGTTGAACAGGCTGGATTCGACTGGTCTGAATGCGCCGAAAGGAACGGCGGACGGCGAGGAGGAAGGCTGGATGTCGTCCTCGACTTCCTGCACCTGATTCTACCTGTATTCTGTATCAAGGAATCATGGTAGACTTCTACCACTCAAGGTCATGGAACGTGATTCATGACAGATGACTTATCAAGCCGAGTATTAAATTTTTCAACTTAATGCCATCTTCAGAGGATTCTAGGTGATTCGCCTAGGCAATCGCGTTCTCCTGTTCTTCATCGGTGAGAGCTTTTATAAGGCCATTTACTTGTCACCTCTGCAGTGGTCAGTATATACCGACAAATAGCCGAACTTTCACCTATACACAACATGATGATCACGTCATGATCTGGCGGTTATCAATTGAGATTATCCAAAGTATGTGCAAGAACAGGAAGGTAAATTATTTCACAATCTCGAAAGAGTTATCAAAGAAGTCAGATCTGCAATGAGCAGACAACAAGCTGTACACTAGCAAGCTCGCGACCCATCGATTGATCACGCACTTTCCAACTATAACAATATACAATAAATAACACAAAAGTCAACACGATCATCTCCAATCACCCTGGTATCCTCTACCCCATCCTCTTCATCAATATCTCCCGCATTTCCGAAAATATACCACCCATCTATCCAAGCATCTCCCTCCTTACAACAATCCACCCCCAACAACCCCAGCAACCAACAACGCAACCACCCCCACGGCCTTCTTAGTCACACCAACAGCCACAGTCGCCCCACTAGTCGAGCTGCTCGACGCACTCGACCCCGTCGCGGTTCCGGAGCTCTTGCTCTTCTTCGTGGAGGAAGACGAGGTGGCCGACGCCGTCGCGACGATGGTCCCGGCGCCCGTGGCCGGGACGGTGCCCGTGGCGGTCGCGTTGGCGCCGGTGTTGCACCAGACCTCGCCGGCCTCGGAGGCCTTGATGAGACACTCGGCCAGGGTGTGGACGGTCTGGTCCTGGGCGAGACAGTAGTAGTCGCAGCTGCTGTAGGAGACGACGTCGGCGGCGCCGCAGCAGCTGCTCATGATGGCGGAGTTGTTGCCGGTGCTGGGCATGGCGCAGGCGGCGTCCTTGATGGGGATCTCGTAGAGCTGCTGGTGGCAGGTGGAGGTGGCGGAGGCCGCGGTTGTGGTGGCGGTGGTTGTGAGAGACATTTTGGCTTTGGTGAGTGAGTGAGTGGATAAATTATTGTCTTGCGAGATGGTTGGGCTTGGTGTTCTCAGAGGTAGGTAGGTATAGAATGAGGGATATAATGAACGAGTGTGCGAAGTGAATCAGTGGCTGAACGATTGTGGAGTGGTCTGGTCAGGGTTTTCAGGGTTGTGCAGGGTACTTATAAAGAGGAGAGGGCTCTATGTCGCTGCCTGGATCCCAGACCAGGGACTGCTGTAGAATCCTTAGCCATGGATTCATGGCTAAGCGGAAGATGCTGGGGCTGACCGCTACGACTGCCCCCCTGAGGGACACACATGCCTGCCTATACTCCACCGGGGGTCCCGCTGTCTGGTCCCTTGGACCAGTGGCCGCCGGGGTGTATCCATTTCTTCTAATTATGGGTCGGCGACTCCAGCCGATCCCGTCTCGATGCAGTTGGCTGGATGTTAAGTCAAGGACTATAGGTTGTCTGATGGCTGTGCCCAAGCTACTTCACATCCTTGGGGCAATTATATCAAGATTGTCAGATACCCAGGTTTCAGATGACGCGTCGTTTGCTTCGATGCATGACTATTTTGTCCTTGCTTGATGGCTAGTAGAGCACGCAGGGACAGGGCATGTAGAGGTTGGCCCGGCGTAGCCTCATCCAGGCACAGGACTACCAGTCCCGAAAGTTCCAGCGTCTTGATCTGCACCGGAGACTCTGCAGCCTGAAATTCAGGAAAGATGTCGAAGCGATCTGTCAACAAACAGGTTCTTCCCGATCAACCAGAATGTGCCACTGATGCTCATGATCCCGTCGGAAAACTACGCCATGCATGGCACACTACTCAAACGCCTTTCCGACAGGCTACGGCCAGATTAGCAGCAGAAGCCACCTCACAAACTGGAAGGAATAGCGAGCCGGGCTTCTTGGCATCGAAGCTTTTCTTCCTTGCCAAGATATCAAGGATATGACTTTTCCCAGATCCCCTAGGATCTGTAGTTGTCGGGTGAGGCGACAGACCCAGGCGTTGCCTTCGCTTAGCATCTGCCAAGAGGTATAGTCTGGCATAGCCCGGAGTTCCCTTTGCCTTTTGGCTATTGATATGGACGGGGCATAGCCACCATGGAGTTGAGACTTTGTTTGGCTTTAAATAGAATCGTTGATCTGTCTTTGGATAGTGGTGTGGTGTGAGAGATGAGAGCGGGTCTGGCGGTTAAGGATTGAAGACCGGGTCGATGAAAGGTCGATCCAAGGCCCAAGTGGAGAGTCCGGGTAAAGTTTATTCAGACCGATGCATCTATGCATCATTCCATGGTCCAGCATTGTGTATTGTGGGAAACCCTGGCAGCTCTTGTCAAACTGTCTTGTGTTAGTTGACTTACCTGAAGTGCATGAATGTCTACATTAGTAATTTTTGTCCGGAATAGTGATGAAGTCCTGCAGGGTTTCTACTGCGTCGACCCGCTGATTATGTCCACCACTCGAGCCACTTCACTGCTACCCATGACACAAGAGCCCTGCAATTTGAATAAGCTTTTCAGCACAGGGGAGCATAAAGTCTTCAACAATGAATGCATGACCAACTGCCATGCACGCAGCGTACCATCCCGACGGCAGGATACGCATTCAGCGACAAAAGCTCGGCCAATTCTCTTCAACAATCACTTCTCTCATCACGAACAGTGGCTATCGTTGTCGCAGCTGTCAATGGCGGTCATACACTAAATCCATTCTACCTGGACATTCATGAATGCTCATGGGCGAAGTACAAGGCCAACCCGCCCATTGCATGTGTCAAAATGAAACGTCATAGACACGGATGACAGCATGGTTATCTCACTTGCATCAAACTGTTCGAGCGCAAATTTCTTCGCCTAAAGATGCAAGTTATGAGATTGTCTGTGGAAAGGTGGCTGGCCGGCTGGCTGGCCTGGACTAGGTCACAAACGCTAAGCATTTTTTAATCCCGCCCGCCGCAACAACCTACCATACTCCAGCCCAATAGCGACAGACCTTGAAGAAAGAATTACTCGGGCACAAGCGTTGGCACTGCAATTGCAACAGTCTCACCGACTATGTTGAGCCACTGTCAAAGTGCGGAGACCAACCCTATCTGCTCCATTCTTCAGCTCGTATCGATTGGGATCGCTCCGAAGCTTAGTCCCCTCCGCACGAACGCCTCGAGCCCATGTGGTTTTCGCGATTGGAACCAACATAACTCGCTAATGCTTGTCAGGATATAGTGTTGGATGATGTGAGCGAGGTGGAGAAAGTCGGAAACATGTTGCGCAGAGAAAGGCCAGCGAATTCTCCAGCTAAATACCCCCTCGATGCGCGTTCCGTCATTTATTTTGTGTTGACCTGGAATCTCTCGCTCCTTGCACTCGGACCGCCGTACAATCGCAACAATTATGCTCAAACATACCCTCGCGTCTCTGGCCCTCTTCGCGGCAGAAGCCTTCACGGCCACGACCAGTCCCGGTTACTCATGGAACATTCCTTCGACCGTCAGCGGAGACTCACTCTCGTTCGGAGAACATTATGCGGTGTTGAATCTCGATCTGATCGATGTAGTGGTGTCGTATGTGAACACTACTGCCGCGGGAGCGAGCTGGATCAACAACACGGCGCGGTGGATTGGCGCGTGAGTTGCACTTTTGTCCATGGACTGTCTAGGTTGCGGACGGCGCTTGAGAGAAGCCACGACGAGGACTATACACTAGACAAAGCTGACAGCCTGCAGCGTTCACCAGCAGTCGCCCCCGCCCTTGAGCATCTTCACGCGGATCTACTTCGCCAACACACAGCGACCCGAAATCAGTGCCAACGACCCCTTTGCGGAGGCTGTGTCCCTCCTCGGCAACATCACGGAATCGAGCCCCGAGGGACAGATCTACCCTGCTTTCCGGCCGCTGGGTAACTGGGACGTGGTGTTGCAGAAGGTGCGGTACTACGCCGGTGCGGGCAACTCGCTAGAGGAGATCCTCGCCAGCCAGAAGATCGACACGGTGATTCTGGTGAGTGATTCCGGTGTCCTCTGGCCCTGAATGGAAATCGATCGGAGGGGTGGACCCCCCTTGTTTAGCGCTCCGGCTAGTGCTTCATTAGTGCTTGTGGTCCCGGATCGACCACGATTTGTCTGTTTTGTTTTGTTGGTTGGTTGGGTACGGAGAGAACTAACGCGCTGGTCCGAATTTTTTAGTCTGGGATTCGCACGTCGGGGGTTGTGCTGAGCACCGCTCTTCGTCTCTTCGATCTCAATTACAAGGTGTAAGTCCGATTGCGTTTTGTGCCGTGACGATGAGGTGACTGATAGCCTTCGCTCTAGATATGTTATCTCGAACAATACCATCGAGACTCCCTCGACCTACGCGTCCCAGATCCAGCAGACGATCTTGCAGGGCATTCTGCCAGGCAATCCTATCGACGTCATCACGATCGAGCAGGCCATCGCCGCGTTGAATCGGTCGGGTCCGGCTATATACTAGTTTCGACTCAATTTGTACCAGCGGACGGCTGATAGGTTTGATTATCCAATGACATGTACTATGTAAACCAGAGCAGAGATGATCTGAGATGATGTTTGATAATTTCAGATAGCAATTCGAGTCTAGCCCTGAGATCTCCCCTTGAGGGTCTCTATAAGAGACAGAGCACGACTTTCGGAAATATGCATAGGCGACGTGGTAGGGAAAGTAGTCCAAGGGAATTCCCGAAAAAGGGGGAAGATCGACCAAAAGAGAAAAGAAGATAAAAAGAAAAAACAGTAAAAGAAATAGAAAGAAAAGAGAAAAAGAAAAAGAAAAAACAAAAACAGGAAGGCAAGCCACAATGCGTGATGCATGCAGTGTCATCACCTGAGGAATAAGTAGCCGAAGTCACGGCAGTAGCTCTGTGCTACCAAACCGTGCAAATTGATTCCAAGATAGACATCATGACTCGTGTGCAGTGATACTTGCTCTTTCCAATGTTATAGATTCCTTGTAACGTGACTTTTGATAGCTAGGAAGATATGAACCTTGGAAACCTGGTTGATATCAATTGTGGTCTGACTTTGGCACATCCTACAGTAGAGTATTTGGTAGGGTTGTTGGCGCCCAGGCCTTGACCGAAGCTTCTCGCTGATAAACCCGGTTGTGATTGCATTCTGGTTCCGCCCAATCCACACCATCTTCATCCTCTCCAGGCTTTAGCGCAATTCGAGGTTCGGGGTCGCCTCGCCATCGTACACGAAGAAAATGACACTGTGTGAAGGGTCTTAACTCGGAAGGATCAAATCGATGGTGTATGGTTGTATTGAAGTATGGTCATGGTCAGTCACTGAGTCCGTTTGCGCTACTCTGTAGCCGATCTTACAAGCAGATTGCTGTGTTACCTTGTCCTGCCTGCCTACTATGAGGACTCCAGAAGTAGCTGATATCAACTGCCCTGATGTTTGGGTCTGAGCCTACTTTTTACGTCGTCCTTTCCTCCCGATACTTGCAACAACTCATTTCATTTTCATTCCCATCAATCCCACTTTTGTATTCATTAACACTAGCGATTCATTTCTCAGAAGCCCTCCTCAAGCCACCCGTGTATAACAATGCGAGATAGGTCTTAAGTGAACATATCCTCAAACCCCAACCACAACACCAGTCCTCCAACCAACCCAGAGTCCAACCCAATCCTAGGTATCCATCTACTTCACCTCCGCATAAACCTCCAACGCATCATGCAACCGCCCAAAGACACCCCCATGCCACCCCTTGACCAACGCCCACTCCTCCTCCGGCAACATGACACTGAACATGCGCAGCCACGCGCCCACCAGGAAATCGGCATAACACGCGCTCACGCCGCGCACAAACGGGCCCTCGGGGTTCTGCACGAACAACGCCGCAATCGCCCCCAGCGTCTTTTCGAACGACCGGATCATATTCTGGCGATACTCCCCTTCGCACTTGAAATCGTCCCAGCTCGACATGGGCGCGCCCGCCAGCTGCGCCCGCCGCACGAACTCCGCCTTGGTCGTCGCCGCGGTCGCCGGATCGAAGGGGAACCCCTGCACCGTCAGCTGGGTGTGCGCCGTGAACGCCGCGTCGACGTGCACGTTGAGCCGGGCGTATGCGGCCAGCGCGGGGTTGTTGGCGTTGCACTCGGAGAGCGGGACGATGGGCGGCGGGTCCAGCGGGAAGGTGTAGTCCAGGGGTTGGGCAGGGAAGAGGTCCCCGTCGCCGGCGGTTGAGTAGGTGGTTTGCAGGTAGGCGGCGATGTCGAAGGAGTCTCCGAGTAAAGTGTTGGTGGTGGGGTCGTGGAGGATCGGCAGGGTGTAGAAGTCGCTGCCGTCGGCGAATTGGCGGCACGCCGGCACGTTCAGGCTCTTGCGCACGCTGGCGACCTCCGGCAGCGGCACCCAGGTGGTCTTGTACGGCAGGTTCTTGAAGTTCAGCGCGAACCGGGTTTTCCAGGGGTTCGGGGAGCAGGCATTCTTCTCTGCGGGAGGGCGGGTGGCGATGTCGTAGAAGGTTAGGGGGGTGGAGGGGGTGGTTGTTGTGGTTGTCGTGGTGGTGGTGGTTAGTGGCATTTTGCGGGGGGCAGTGATGGTTGAGATGACTTGATAGAAGGAAGTAATGCGGCTTTGCGTCTTTAGGCTGGATATGGTGGCTTTGAGGAGATCAATGGCCTAATAGTGCTTCTCAGGATATGTTTATATACTTCCAAATTGCTTACCCCAGGTGGACTGTTTAGCTTGTAGCTGGTAGCTACGGGATTCTTCACGGTAGCTCACACTGATGTGGGGTAACTCAGAGTGACGCATGTTGACTCATTATGAGTGGTGCTTCAGGCTCCGCCGCTGCTCTGCATTGACTTTACATAAACTTTTCTGTTTGCGGTGGTTCAGCATAAGGCAGCAATCACTTCTATTCTTTCGAGTGTAACCTTTCTTTCTTACCACCATTCTTATTATAGATAGCCATACTCATAGTAATGCCTTCCGTGGACAATCGGTGCCAGTTTGCATTATACACCATTTGTTAGTAGACGACGCGCTCGCATCGTAGTACTAGTGATCTGATTAGACGGTTTGTCTCGGAGTTTCTGTGTATTGATCTCATATCTACATGATTAAGTAGCCGAATGCTATAAGCATGCTGTGTACTCCGTACTCAGTAGAAATCGCTTTGAAGCGACCGTGAAAAAGTCTACGGTAACTTACAGCTCTCAATCGTCGATGCATGAAGAAAAGGTGAAACCTGTTGAACAGGAAGCCGCCTTCCCCTTCCGTTGGCTTACGTATTCTGGCAGTACGGCAGGAGGATCGGCTCCATGACTCTGAAACGGAATAAGGAAACGCAGAGCAGCAGGGGGGGATGCGATTGCTTTCGCCTTTCCCACTGGTCAAAGTCTACAACTTTAGTGCCGACGCTAAGGTAGCGTGGCCGCCGATGATGATGTGCACAGTGCGTCAAATGACCTTGGGCTGAAAAGTAATAAAATGAGGGTATTATCGCTGTCCACTAGTTAAATGAGATTTGGGCTGGTCCCGCGCCGCGGTCAGTCAAAAGGCTGTGACCGGCCAGAGGCGCGAGAAATGCATTTAGATTAAGGAGAACCAGGTCGATGGGCTTCCGCGGCCAATTGCGCGACGAGAGATGTCAGTGCGAAGTGCAGGGCAGGACATTTGTTTATACATAACATGAATGCACTGGACGGCATTGACAGTGCATCCCCACGGAGATTTCTCTGCAGTATCCGTCTGTATCACGATCTGCCAGATCGCCACAGTAATGACAGGTAAAGCGGTGATGCATCCATTTATCGCATACTGCTGACGGATGTTTAGCATGGTAATGAATTCGCCCTCCCATTCTGGAATTTGGTATTGACACTCTTCCGGTTAGAGAGGTTTGTCATCAAACCCTAGGTAAGGAAAAGGACGCTCAAGCGGTTCAATCTCCGCAATTCATTTCGGCGATGCAAGGCACATGACGAGGAAACTCTGGATTGTTGCCAAGTTAGGTAAAAGCTGAGTGCAACTTTGAAGTCATGGGATGAATGCTTCACATTGGAACCTCATTAGCAGAGGGTGATTACTACTCAATTATTCAGATAGTGAAATAGTGAAAAAGAAAGGGAGAGATACAGAGATCTATTGATCTATTGATCTATTGATCTATCGATCCATCAACGGAGTAAGCTCGACTTATCTTTTATGCCGCGGCCGTCGGAGTAGATAAGTGGCTGGCCCTGGTCCTTGACTCAGGCAATGATAGATAGGGTCAATTCACCGGACTTGTCTCTGAACTCTTCCCAGTTCCTTTACTTGAACGGGCAAGATCCGATCCTCCTTCTGGGCCTTCCGCCAACGGTATTACTTGATGCGGGGTAGCGTCTTTCCTCGTGGAGGCTAGACTTGTGTGAGCTAGGCTCAAAGCAGGCAAGTGTTATCAGCTGACCCCCGCGTGGATTTTTCGTTCCGTTGCAGGGCAGCGTCATCATCGAACCTGGAACAAGATTCTCCGCTTCTTATTAGAGCTTGCTTGCGCGCTCTTGCTTGCTCTTGCTTGCTTTTCATGCTTGCTGGGGCTGGCTGGCTTGCTTACTTACTAACCTTGGGTTACTTACTTCTTCCTGCTTGCCTCTTGCCGTTCTCTTTTAACTTGCTTGTGCTTGCGCTTGCGCTTGCTCATACTCTTACTCACTTGTCCTGGGTTAGAAGACTTTCCTATTCCCGTTTCCACCCCGGGCCCCCTCTTCCTCTTTCTTTCTCTACTCTCTCTCTCTCATTCTCTTTCTTCACTCTCCCCCCTCCTATTCCATTCACTCCTATTCTTCCTATTCCTCTTTCTCATCTTATTGGCCCTTTGTCTCCTAAAACAATATCCACAATACCTTCTCTTGACTTGCTCTTATCTAAGTGGTATCCTCCCGAGCTCTAGTGCCAAATTCGACGGGCTTTGCTTAAGCTTGATCCGAGGGATTTTTCGTTTCTGGGCAGCCCCGACCTTACCCGCAATTCTAGTACTGCCATTGCGCGCCGTCGCAACTCCCGCTCGGGCGATATTGATTGCAGAACCGCAATTCGAACCATACCATAGATCTCAAACCAAATTCTCCAATTAAAATACGTTCGATGGTCTACTCAGACTACTCTCCACCGACCGAGAGGTCAGGATCTGCAACGACGCCTCAATCCGAGTCGCACGAGGCCAGCAAATCAACCGGCTCGAGTAACGATGAATTCGATCGGAATGCCTCAGTAATCCCTGCCAAAGGGAGCCTCGACTCCCCACCTCTATATAGTTTCCAGCCCCCGTCGAACCGCCTTCATGACCCGACTGCCCAGCACAACCCTCACCATCCTCTACCCTCGCTGCAAATACGTACCGATCTGCCAATCTTCAGTCAAATGAGCCCTCCCAGGGACGCTGACACCCTGGTACACCACAGCCTTTCCTCGAGCAGCCTGCCCCGTCGCACCCCTAGTTTACGCGGTCTCTTCGCGGCGCCTCCCAACAGTGGAGGCTCACTGTCGCCGGCCTCTATAATCTCGTCACCACAATTGGTAGCAATGGGCGACATCACCCCTTTACCGTCGCCCATCAGTGGCATGTCGCCATGGAAACACCCCCGGCGCAATTCTCAATCTCTCTCCCGGACCCCTTCAACGGTCTCACGAAAGGGCTCAAGTTTGAGTCTGCGACTAAGCGATTCATCGCACATGCTCGGCGCTTGTGAACCTCGACCTCGAAGCCGAAACAAACATTACACACTATCGGATAAACTGCACGAATCGCCGCTCGAGTCACCGACGCCAACACGGGCCGAATCCGCTCCCAAGCACGCGCGCAACCGCAGTTTGAGCGAATATGTCCCCCCAGGCCGAAGTGTGCCTGTTAAACCACGACCCATTGTGGTCTCGGGAACCGGCGTGCCACCCGGGATCTCCACCTCCACCAGCACAGACTCAAATGCGCACAACCTCCATCGGGAGCAATACTTGGCCGTACATCGTGGAATCGCATTGCCGACCGTCCGCCCGCCAAGTCCGCCGCGCAGTAGCCGCAGTGGGCTTGATGAAGATGACGGTGGACCTGTTATAACACCTGTCCCTGACACTGCGGATGAGATATACTCGGTGCGTTCGGTGCGCACTCAGCAACGCCGGAAATATCGCAAACTTCGTCAACTGGGTCATGGAACGTTCAGCCAAGTCAGTCTAGCCATGCGCGTGGAGACGCGCGATAGCGACCCGTCACAATACGGCTCTAGTTTGCAGGACTTGAACCTCGCGACCCAGAAGTTGGTCGCGGTCAAGATTATCGAATATGGACCGGCGGGAGGCGCGGACGAAGAGCGCTTGGAGGTTTCTCTCAAGCGCGAGGTGGAGATCCTCAAATCAGTCAATCACCCCTCGTTGGTTCAGCTGAAAGCCTTTGGCAGCGACGAGAAACGCGCACTACTCGTCCTCGATTATTGTCCAGGCGGAGACCTCTTCGATGTGGCCTCTTCCAGCAACCGACCTTTGAATCCCCCTGTGATTCGTCGCATGTTTGCCGAATTGGTAGCGGCCGTTCGCTACCTACACGAGCACTATATTGTGCACCGTGATATCAAGCTAGAGAGTGAGTATTCCGGACTTGTTACATAGTGCGAGGCCTAACTTGTCTTCCCAGACGTTCTGGTCAATTTGCCTGTCACCGCGATGGATACGATCAGCGACTGGCGCACATACGATCGAGCAATCGTGACCCTCAGCGATTTGGGTCTATCCCGACGGATACCCGAGCCTCCGGAAAGCCCACTTCTGCAGACCCGGTGTGGCAGCGAGGATTATGCGGCGCCAGAGATCTTGATGGGCCAATCGTACGATGGACGGTCAACAGACGCGTGGGCGTTGGGCGTGTTACTGTATGCGATGATGGAGAATCGGCTGCCATTCGACGCCTTGCCGGGTACTCGAGGTGACCCGGCGAAATTGCGCGCACGGACACCCCATCGCATCGCGCGGGTGGAGTGGTCCTGGTATCGGTATGCGGACAGTGACGGCGAGTGGGATCCTGTCAAGGGCAGCGATCTGGAAGGCGCGCGAGAATGTGTGGAGGGACTCTTGAAACGCAACACCAAGAGGAAGAATCTTGACGAGATTGCGTCCTTGCCATGGGTGAAGGACGCGGTTGATGTGCCCGGGGGGCTGAAGAGGGGAGACAAAGAAGTGCCCTAGAGCTGGCCTCTTGGATCTGCATGTTACCATTCTTATTTTCCTGTTTTAACCATTACTTTTTCCCCTCTTTCTCTTTATATTTCTGTTTTGTGTCTGCATTTCTCATGATTTGACGGCGTGACTCCGAGAGACGATCCCAACCGCTGATGACGCGACTTTGTGATTTTTCTCAGTCTAGACCTCTCTTTTTTTGCCGGAGAGATAGTTGCCACAACGAAGTTATGGGCATTAGACTTGTTGAGCCATGCTGCTATCAGTGTAACCTGGTCGAGCGTTCTGTTCTCAGCTACCATTAATTGTACTGGTTGATATATATTAGTTTGGGTTACTTCCAGCCCGGAAGATACCGGGAAGAATGGGAGGAGACATCATTCTTGAGGCAGTTATCGGTCACGATGCGGCATTGCATGCACATTCCAAGGCTGCCAGTGAAGTAAATCCATCACTTAATGCACATGTAGAGATCTAGATGTGTCTCATCTCCTCTGGCAGAAAGTCCCATTTGCTTGATGTTAGAGGAGGCATTTGTGGCTGGCTGGCGAGAGCTGGAGCATCCCTAGAGAATGTTGAGTCTGGAAGCGGCCAGACAGTCGGATGGAATGTTTGGCAGGGCAGAATTACCCGGGCGGTGGAGTCTACATTTTCGGATTAGGCTTAGCGGCCTCTGAGTGGGCCGGTGTCGCATGGAGATTGCTGAGTCAGGACCAGCCCCTGGAAAGATCAACCTTGTGAGATCAGTGGCATCGATCATTTCCGTCCAATGAAGAATCTCGCTTCGATCAGCAGCCTGATCGACTGGGTCAGGGTGGTTTGCAGGCAGCATCCATGATGGGTTTCCCATTGAACAAATACTTTAGACGAGAATGTTCATACTGTACAGTACTGATCTCTGGGCAAGCACTGCACTCGCGGAAGGCTGCCTTAAGTTGATGCCTTGGCTGCCTGCCGTACGCATCCGAGGACGCGCCAGCTCCGCATCATCAGTACTACAGTACGGAGTACTGTATATTCATACAAGATCATGTTCTGTTTCGTCTGGAAAACACCGCATCCGTCACAATTCTATCAACAATTGACAAAAGATGCTACACTTGATTGCTACAGAGGCTCTCCCCGGCTCTCTGGGAATCTCAGAGGTGCCAATGCCCATCCTGCCGAGAGCTAGGGCTCCCCTCTCTTCCGCCCCAAAAAGTCAGTCTCAAAATAGGAGAACCGGCCCCATTTCGGGATTGACAGCTAGTCTGCCATAGGTGGTCTTAGGAGTATTGAGCACGCCTGCAGTGGAGTCTTATCTGAATGTACGGATACTGTACCTCCTGGTACTGGCAATTATAATAAGAACAAAACTGGACCTGGAATTTCCCGCTTGGCGGAGACTGGGGCCGGGGCTGGGCTGCTGTTTTATACTGAAAGTAATGCACCCTGACCGTTTCCTTTCTCTCTCTCTCTTTCTGAACTCCCTATCCCGGAGGTTTCATCTTCACTCTGCTTCCCTTCCTCCCCACCCCCCTCTCCCTCTCCCCTCTGTCCTCTGAATATCCCTCCCCCCTTCCCCCTCCCCCTTCTCTCCCAAGTTTCCCCAAAAATGGCTCAATTTGAGTATTTGCGTGACTAGATGGATAGATTTTGAAATTTTGTCCACATGTAAAATTGTTTCCTCTTCCTTCGTATATATACAAAAACCCCTTTGATCCTTTTCACCACACGTCCCCCTTCTCCCTCTCTCTATCCGATCCCAACGGGCCATGGTCCCATAGGCGTTGAGAGAAAGAGAAAGCCATGTCGACCCCGTTCAAAGAATCCCTCGACCGCGAGGATGCCCCGTTCCTGGCTGCTGCTGCTGCTGCTGCTGCCGCCGCCGCCGACGTCGCCTCCGATTCCAACGTTCACCGGACCAACGCAGCCCACAAGCACAATGAAGATGGGGATGAATGTAATGATTACCCGCACGGCAACCACCACCACCACCACCACCACCACCACCACCACCAGGACGAAGAGGAGGATGAGGAGGACGTCAAATTGCTCAACAAGAAAATCCGCTTTCGACTCATGGTGACCTTGTTTGCCATGATCCTCGCCGTCGAGGTCGGCATCTGCATGTCCAACGGGCCCGTCACCCGCATCTTCGAGTCGATCGCCTGTCGCGAGTACTATGCGCAGTACGATCCCACGCAAATCGGCGCCAACGGGCAGGTCGACGAGGATCTGTGCAAGATCAAGGAGGTCCAGCAGGATCTGGCCGCCGTGAAGGGGTATATGGAGTTCTTCGATGGGACCTTGAGTATGTGTTTCATGATTTTGCCTAATGACCCTGGATCGGAGCCTCTCTCTCTCCCTCTGTTATTTCTTGTTGCCATTTACACACATCACCTTGTTACTGCATGGTCTTGATTGTTGATGAGCGGGTGAATCTTCTTGCTTATGTCCTTTCTGCAGGTGCTATCTTGGCAATCCCCTATGGTCTGATGGCAGACCGCTTCGGCCGGAAATCCACCATCTGTTTGAGCATCCCTGGCTTCGTTCTCAATTGCCTCATGCAGCTGGCTGTGATGTGGTTCCCGGATACTTTCCCCCTGCGAACCGTGTGGGCGTCGTCGTTGGCCTGGCTGCTGGGCGGGGGACCGGTCGTCGCGTTTGCGATCATCTGGACGATGATGTCGGATGTCTCGACTGAGGAAGAACGGTATGTTTGTTGCGACTTGGCAGGTTGGTGTGTGTTCTTTTGCTGACGAGTTCGTTAGAGCGGCGATTTTCTTCAAGTTCGGGGTGGCGGGTATGGGGGCCGATTTCGCGTCCAGCGCGGCCAGCT